GGCAAAATATCTGACCATCGTTCCGCCTTCAGAGTTGGAAGAAGCTCGACGGATCTTGTCGAGTCAATAGCTTTGCTACCATGCAATGAACCAATGCTAATAACACTAATATAGAATCAGATCGAACAAACAACATCCATGCTACTTATGACACAATTCGAATCATTGTACTCTTGATCAAGTCCAAAATTTCATCAATAGCAGCCTCTGGCAATCGAGAGAGCGAAGGGATCAAGGCGATGGCTTCCTCTACTGAAGTATCCGTGACAACCAGATTCATCAATGCAGAAACTTCAAAACTGTGCAGTTCTAGTTCTTCCCCATCGTCTGTTTCTTTTCGGAACGATGCCAGCGCACTGTAAGTGGGACAGAGCAATGGTGTGTTAGAACGTTTTCGAACGATCATCTTCAAAATGTGCCTATCATGGCCTTGCTTACTCTTGTAAATTATCAAGTTCTTCGACAAGTTCTTGATTTTCTTTTTCTGGATTTGTCATGGTGTTGAATCGTTCGACATACTTCTGCGTCTTTCGGTAAACCTCATTCAGCTCTTCATCCCGATTCACCGCGGACCTCGCGCTCACTTGCAGAATAACAGCCACCTGGGCATTGGAAAGAATGTGAATGTCGTCGAATTCTGGTCCAAATTGACGCTCTGCTGCATTTTCTACTGTTGAGGATGCTTCGGCCATTCTGAATAATTGATGGTAAGGCTATAGTGAAGGAGTCGAGACTTTGTTGTGTTGTTGTGTTTGGGTGAAAAACTGCCGATCATATGTTTCAGTTGGTTGGTCAGATGAGTCGAAAGAGAGCGACGATGAGCAGACGTAGCTGTCTCCTCTATTCCCCGCGCATCTCGACATCTGACATATTTGAATATGCATCATGCTCGAACGCAGTTTTCATAAAAATTACTAATACTGCGCGAAAGAAAGACGAAAAGAAGAAAGAACTTTTCTCTTCGGACAGAGAGACTCTCTTCCAAGTTTATTTCAAGATTCAAAGTGTCGCACAATATGCCGATCCTAAACTCTTTCGGCGAATCGTACCGGAAAGTGAAATCAAAGCTTGGTTCAAACATTCTTCCAGCAAAGAACACTGTGGATCAACACAGGAAATATTTTGAGACACGATCATTATTTGTTTGCGTCATTTGCTTGCTTGTTCCAGCATCCTGTACCAGTGGGGATGGCTTTTGGAGACAACACTTTTTTCGAAGCCCTAGCTTCGATGATCAGTGCTAGGAGGGGTACATCCGTTACCATACTTCCAGCTGGCGACGTAGCTGAATCAATCACCATCATGATATGCAATCTTTTGGGATGTTCCATGGAGCGCTTCGATACTCCATGGAAGCCAGAAAAAGTGTTCAAAAAGCTAGAAGAAACTGGATTCCTTGAACAGTACCTTCTACTGGAGTCTATTCCCACGGAGTACGGGGACCAGTTCAAAGAGAAGATCTTGGAGTACCTTTTGTCATGTACTGCATTTATCAGAAAGCGGTTTAAGAAAGGAACACCTTGTGGAGACATTGTCAGGACTCTTATGGAAGGAGGCGATGGACACTCGTCCATCTGTCAGCATGCCCTTCCCTACCTTCAAAGCTTGTTTCAGTTGTCAATGTCGTTTCAGCAACGAAGCAACACCAGTGTAGAGGAAGCCTGTTTTTGTCAATGGTGCGAAAAGGAGGATTCTTCTGACAAACTTCTAAAATGTTCGATGCAACAAGGAATGCCAAAAAGCGGACTGGAAGCAGCAGAAGCCGATGTGTTCTGATACGAAACGTCTAAGAACTGCAGAACAAGCGGTCTTGAACATTGTCGAGAAGCACTATGTGGATATTATGCACCGTATTGTAACGGAAAGCGAAAAGGCTGGCACTTCTAAGATTTGCGATATGCTGTCGATAATGGAGATGGGAAGATACCGGTTCTGCAAGATCCGCCTCAAATTCAGATTGTTCCAACCGCGAGATATCTAGATGACCCTCATGAATGTGGGCTTGTGTTTACAAATGATGAAGAAGAAAGGACGTGCAACCAAGGCGTGGGAGCGCTGTGCGCTCAGATGAAGGATGACAGCTATGACAAGGGTCGTGGGCATTTTCTCTGCGTTTTCAAGCATGGTGACGCGGTGGGAACTCTAATTCCTCGAAAGTAAGTATGAGTGTTGTGTCTGAAAGTCGTCAGAGTGTCAAGATGCTTTTGGCTGATTCCTTGGAGAGGAGAGCTACATACGGGGTTAAAGTAATCAAATTGGCTGATTCCTTGGAGAGGAGAATTACAGACAGGGTTAACGTAATCAAATCGAAGGAAGACCCAAACAAATTTCTCATTTCTTTCGGCACGGGCTGAGGATCGAGCTCAAATTGCATCAGAACCTAGTTCTCTTTGCATCATGCTAGTGTAGCATATAATACAATTTCTAGTCTCTACCCCTTTATACTTTTACTATTATATATAATATATCTTAGTTCTGCAACTTAGTTGGCAATCTTTTCGTTAAACTCCCATTCAGGTTCGACTGCCATTGCCCAGTTGAATTTGTCTCGCAAAGTTTTTGAAAAGACCTTTTCGATTGGAACTTCGTTGCGTTTGCACCAAGCCACAGTTATCCGTGGGTCCATGTAGTTGATCTTGGATGTACCTAGGGAAACCTCCTTGTTGTCATCCTTGTGCTTCAAGTCCATTTCCATCTTGGTGATCTTATTCCCCCAGTTGCTAATGCGTTTGATCACTTGATCCTTCGATGGCGTCTTCTCCCACAAGTGAGCTTGTTCAAACTTCGTAGCAGTGACTTCTCGTCGTCGCTCTTTGGCCTTTTCATCGGCTTCGGTAGCCTTGATCTTTTCTTCGTTGGTCTTGGCCTTTTCCTTCATCTTCTTGGCCTTGGCAATTGCCGTGGTAACTTCCTCCACAAGCTTCTTTTCGTTCTTCTTCACTGGAATCTTTTCTGGTTTTCCAGCATTCAGACACTTGAGGATTCCTTTCAATGTCTTCCTTTGCTTCTTCAACGTCTCTAGCTTGTTTCCGATTGCCTCTAGCTGCGTCTCTTGTGCCTTGCTCACGGAACGCTGGTGATTACATAGAATGGCAACTTCACGATTGGCACTGTTGTATTCCACAACCTTTTCGGCTGGTGTCAAACGGTGCCAGCCAGCTGTTAGCTCTGTCTTTTTCAACTCGTCTTGCAATGTTTTGGAAGCATTGTAAGTACGAAAGACCTTGGCTGAAAGCCCATCCATGAATTGCTTGAGATGGTTGTTCAACATGGTTGGATTGATCGCATCAAAGACTTCGTCGCTTGACTTCTTTTTGGAGCAAAATCCCTTGAGGTTCTCAAAGACTCGCGACCCCATTCCATTGTCGTCATTGTAGATCGCCGTTCCGAAATCAATTGTTTGCTTGTAAAGCATGGAATCCTTACCCAAGAATTCTAGCTCGATTTCTTTGCAGTCGCCTCCCTCTTGATTGGGATCAAAGTGCAAGTGCTCCACACGCAACGAACAGCATCCCACAGTATCAGCCTCTTCGTCGGTATCCTTTTCTCCACCCACACGAAGAGCCAAACGATCAATGACCCAAACAGCTGTTGCTAGTTGCCGAGTCTCCTTGTCTTTTGATTTCAAGTCCTTCTTGTAGGACTTGCGAATGGTCACAATCCGTTCGCAGAGGCGGGCCGCCTTGGTGTACTTGGATCGATCCGACTTTCCCTTAAAGGATGACTGAGCCGCCAGTTGCATGTACTTGGATTGGTTGTTAATATTCTCCTTCCAAGTGGCCAACCACTGACCCGTGGGGTCATGGCGGACATCTCCCCAAGCATGTCCGGGCATTCGACAGCGGGGGATTGGCGCGCACTCGGACAAGTTCAATGAGACTTGTTCGGGGTTGACTCGTGATTTGAGCTTTCCCATCTTTGGATGTGCTCCACGTCCTCGAAAGGCGCCAGGAGGTTCCTATACAATGGAACGAAAGAATGCATTTTTAGAAACGCGTTTGGCTGTGCAAACCCAAATGCATCAATTTCACAGTGCTTCTTACCATATTGTAGTTTCCAACCTTTTCCAAATGACCATCCACAATGGCAAATCCATACTTGTACATTGCTTGATTCCGATCTTCTTTGTTAGCCTTGCGCTCTTCATCCGTAATGGCCTTGCGAATAATCTTTTGTTCGTTCAAATGTTTGCGAATGGGTTCAAAGTCACACTTTTTGAAATCCTTAATGACATGCCCTCTCCCTAGCACGGCTTTGAAATCAGTAAAAAAGTTCTTGATGAAAATCTTGGCCGTCTTGGGGTTTCCCAAGTGCATTCCTTCGGGATCCATGGCTGCAAAAAAAGTGGCTCTGTGATGACGGAAAAAATGAATAGAATATAGAAACAAGGAGAGGAAACCAAATGAGGCTACAGTCACAATGTGATTCCAACATCGTCATTCCATCATCGTTGGTCTTACGCTTCTTCCTGACCAGGCGTCAAATCCACTGGATTCCCATCGTAAAACATTTTCACACCATGGGGCACATAGTCTTCTGGGAAACTAACTCCCGCATGTTCCATAGTCTCCCACTGGCATCCTTCTGGGGGTTCCTTTGCATCCCACCACAAAAAGGCTTGCATGGCATATTGCAGACGTTCTGTCCTTTCCAATTTCTTGAGTTCCTTGGTGGCTGGTTTCTTGGCTTTTTTGCTGGAAGACGAAGGAGCCTCATCGGGGACTTCTTCTCGTTTGCGCTTCTTTTTGGTAGCCGAGCTGCTCTTGACAGAGTCGGGTTTGCTGATGCTCTTTTTCTTTTTCTTCTTCTTGATCTTGACTAGAGGCCGATCTTCGTCGGAAGAGTCAATGTCCATGATGGATGGATGGATGCGGCGAATATTATTTTTGAATTGTGAAGCTTTGGTCTTTTCGTCTTGGTGGACTTGACAAACGCAAAAAAAAATTTAAGTTGAGAGGTCTCATCCCCGGTAGGCTTTCTACGACCAATCACGTAGAAACGTGTGGGCGCAATGCCGTTTTGCGCTCTACTTCCACTTGTGCTGCTTTCCGACTTGCATTTTATTTTTGCAGCATTTTGGTGAGATTTATGAACGCGGGAGATGGTCAGACCAGATCAATCAAAATCAAAATCATCATCGCAGTAATCATATTTTTTTGCCATCATTTCATTGTCACTGTCACTGTCCCCAAGATGAAGCTGATCCAAGGAATATCTCTTGTTGTCGTTACAAGCACCATGATTTTGTCAGTGGATGCCTTTCTTTCAACCTTCCATGATCCATCAACCACCACAAATCTCTTGGCTTCTTCTACGACCAGCACTCCTGAAAGCACAACAACTACTACTACTACTACTAATACTACTACTAATACCACTACTAATACTATCCAGCACGTGGTGGATGGCGTCGTCTGCCGCGAAATGCCCCTGGAGGTTCCCATCATTGGAACTGTGACAGTCTTGGAAGCTACCGCCCAATCCCAAGAAGATTTGGTGGACATGGCACTGGCACTCCCAGAAGAAAGCGAGTCGGGACTGTTGGAGGCGGGAGATCCGTATGGGGCCGTTTTGTGGCCTGCCGCTTGGGCCGTGGCACGGTACATTTTGAGCGAACCAAAGCTAACGTTGGAAAACGTTAACATATTGGAATTGGGAACGGGTACGGGCTTGGTATCGATTGCACTGGCATTGGGAGGAGCCAAGCACGTCTTGGCGACCGACTACGAACCACTGGCGTTGAAATTGACCACGTACGCGGCCGAAACCTTTCATCCCACCATTAAAGAAGTATTGGGAACCAAATTGTTGGACATGTGCGACTACGACGATAAATTGCCTCAAGTCGACTTGGTGGTGGCAGCCGATATCATGTACGAACCAAAAACAGGAATTGCCATGGCACACCGGGCTGTGGAAGCTTTGAAACAAGGAAGTCGAGTAATTGTGGGTGACAGTCCTGGAAGACCGGGACGTCCAGCATTTCTGAAAGCATTACAGGAGCTAGGAGTAGAAGGAGTCGAGTTTGTGGATACAATTGGGAGAACTTGTACTGGTCCACGCCATGACTTGATTTGTGGCAAGGGGTCCACCTCAGTATCGGAAACCCCCAAAGACTTGGCTGTTGCCATTATGGATTTGAATCCAGAACACTTGAAGAAGTGATCCGACTGTTGTGGTCCATGCGACACATGCTTCCGAATCGAGCACATTGATATCTCGCTTGAGAATCTCACTCGAATGTTTCTCGCCAAGTAAATGCTTCGGCCCACTAGTCGACTTTACCCATTTGGCTCTCTCTTGTTGATCCCGCCAAATTCACTCATACTTTTGGAACAAAGCAAGAAGTTAACAAGAGTGCAAAGACGGACAAACCAGCACACAAGAGCATGACCACATTATCACCCAATTCCGCTGCAGCTGGAGCAAACAGGGATGCCCCGGCTAGTGCACCGAGCTTGCCACAGGCTGCACTGATTCCATTCCAAGTACTTCGGTGCTCTGGTGCATAAAGGAGACTTGGCAAGATAAAGGTGGTCGTGTTGGGCCCGTAATTGGCAAAGAAAAAGGTCATTCCATAAAGGGAGATCAGCACGGCAGGATAATGACGTAGATAGGACCAATTCATACCAATAGTAGTGTACAAAATTGCCATGGCGGCAAATCCTTGCATCATGACGTAACGTGGGGTTTGGGTGACACAGAGTGTCTTCTTTCCCATGACCATGGCCGCAAAAAAGTATCCTGGCAATGCAATGCTGGTGAGCATCAGGGATTTGCGAGCCGTCGATGATAATTCTTCAACTTCGCTCTTGCCATTAGAGTCTGATCCAAAGGCAGCCTCCATGACAATTGGTTGAAAGATTGTGTTTCCGTAAAAGACAATATCAAATAGAAACCAAGTTCCGGCTGTACCGATAATCTTTTTGCCGAGTCCAGGTTCGTGAAAGAGGGCTGACAAGCCATGCGCCTCTTGTGTGCCATCTTCTTCTGGCTCTTCCAAAGTGGCATCTTCTTGAACACCAGTCGTAACATCATGCTCTTCGTCATCGTTGTGATTGGCAATCTCTCCTTCGTCATGTTCTTCTGACAACGGAACTGGATCGTGATTGTGGTGCTCTTGACGGTACATTTTACATTGTAACAGCATGAGTACAAGCCCTGGAATACACCCAAAGCCCAGCAAGAATCTCCAAATAAAATTCAAATCGTCCGTGACCTCAAAGAGAATGACTGCAAGGATTGGGACTGTCACAAAACCCAAACCTTGGGTGCTGAAGGTAAGGACCACTCGATGAATTTGCTTTCCCAACTGTTCCGCATCCGAATCATGATGATGATGATGATGACTATCTTGCTGTTGTTGATCTTTGCCTTGTTCCGCACTCAACACGGCGGCCAGCGGATAGACCCCACCGGCACCAATGCCCAAAATGAATCGCCAGGTTGCCAGGTGGACATAAAATCCCGCATCTTGCACATTGGTGCAGGCACTCCCAATGCTTGCCACAATTTGCAAGACCATGACTAATCTCAAAGCTCCCAGTGCGCCCAAAAAAGTGTCGCCCAGCATACCACCACCAATTTGCCCCAACATCATTCCAGCCAATAAGGAACTTCCGGTCGAGGCGACTGCCTGTTGCGATGCCGAATGTAAACTCTGCAGTATTGGTAATACAAGACTGATGTTGACCACATTGTAAGAGGTTGAAAAGTTGGACAACATGGCCGACATTTGTTGCGGATTGAACCACGATTCCGAGGCCGCAGTGGCGTCAGCTTGATCGTGAACCGTAGTCGTGGGGTCCTCCTCCTCGTGATCGTTTGTAATTATTTCATCTTGAAAGCCCTCCTCTACATTATTGTCATCCATTTCACTCTCTGGGTTGAGCGGGGATTCGAGATTGTTATTGCTTGGAGAAAGGTCCATTGACAAGTCGTTAAAGGAAGCTTTTGGGAGCGCTGTTGTTGTTCCAAGACTTCTCAGTTTGATTACTGTCATACGAGTACCAGGTGCATCGTATCGTGTGAGCTTGTCTCTCGGACGACTCGTTCGACCAAGCACTTGTGCCTCTTGGTTTCTCACATTTGAAACCCAAGATCGTATTGCAACTTCACTCTGTAGACGTTGATATATTTAGCTTTTAGACATAATTGAAAACGTTAGAAAGCATTGGTACGATAAACAGAGAAAAATGGTGTGTATCAGGCAGGCGTGATATCTACAGTGTCTTTCGAGACGTGCACTTTTCAAAACATGCAAAACTCCGATCCTTGTGAATGTGCACGTCAAACAGAAAGATCTCATGTTTAATCTGCAAGGATACAAGAGCCCATCAACATAATATAATCTTCACTGCAACTGCAATGAATCACCAGTCCAACAAGAACCTCTCCACCAAAACGAGATGCTCCAGCGGCATTCAAGAAAGAATTGACGCACTCCAAAAATCCTCAGGGTGCCATCACCACCACCAACAAGAAAACCAGACACGCCCAAGTGGCCGCGTCTCAAAGAGACCATCCTTGAACCTTTCCGATCTTCAACATTCCATATATTCCATGGAAAACTCGGTTTCCTCCTTGGATTTGAGCAATTCCATCCAACTACCATTGACACCAGGTGGTGTCGTCGATGAGAATGCTGAAGAGCAACAACCAACAAGAACAAACACGGCGCAACGAAGCGTCTCCTTTGCCAACATGGCAGATGTTTGCTTCATTCCACAGCTCGACGATACTGTCGACTACGGCGTCTTGTATTACAAGGAGGATGAACTCGCCGACTTTCGTCACGAAGCCTTTCTAGAAGATTGTGGTTTGGCAGATATGATGATGTGAAAACGAAGTCTGGGATGACACGATACATTCTACATATTATATATTACACCAGTGTACAATTGCCTTTTTTGAAGATACATATATTAAACAAAATAGAAATGAAAATAATGAGATACTTGATTGAATGAGGAGTTCAGTCAAACTGTAGAACACGAACTGTGATTCAAAAAAGTCCTAGCTAAAAAGTTTAAATGATCACTACCAACCAAAAAAAGAAAACTTAGAGAAAGTGTTTCTCATTCAATCCGTCTCCTTTTCATGCACGACAACAGCAAAACAGAACGTGCTTTCTTCGAATGCACTATTCGAAAAAAAGCACAGTGGGATACCCTCAAAAATATCTTCATTTGCCCTCCTCCAACAATTAGTATATTTGTTTGACTCTAAACATAAATAAATATTGCAACACCCGCAATTCAGCAATCCATTCCCAATTTAGTACATGCCAACGACAGTCAAAATCTTTTCCATGACCATGGCCTCAACCTTGACTCCCATCAAACCATAGGCAAAGAAACCAATCATCCAAAAGAAACGGTTTCGGGTGACCTTATGGTAAAGAAAGTTGATGAGAGGATTGCAGACGCCCACCAAGCAAAAGTCCATGTCATGTGGAGGACGGTGGTGCGAGCGGTGCTTCTCCAACGGAATCATCAGTCCAGCGGATCGAAGGCCCGAGATGAACTTGTTATTGACCGTAGAAGGAGTATGAGCCGAACGGTGCGAAAATTGTCCATAATAGGCCATGAGCATTTTGAGTCCACCCATGCAACGAACGAGTGGATCGTTAATGGGGTCAAACGCAAGGATCGTGAAGACGGACACGACCAAGCCGACCAAGTTCAGGTCGCCACAGACATCCAAAAAGTCGCGCTGCACCAAGTCTGTTGGGAAATGATGGTGCATTTGAAACTCGAGACAAGGTTGTCCCAAAATGGGAATGTAGAGGTTGTCTGGATTGTCAAAGACAATGTGCAGGAACCCACTGAGCATGTCGTATCCGACCAAGGCTCCGGCCACGCAACAGGCAACGATTGCCAGATTGGTGTCGTAAATGGACCAGGCCACTAGACTTGTACACGCAGCGACGAGAAGGAAGACTGGAATGTGAGAACGAGCAACATAGATGGGAGTTCCAGCACGGAGGGCTCCATCGTAAAGCTTGGGCTTGGATGCCACCTTTAAGACTGGATCATCGTCTTTGGTTTCTCTCGCTTTGGTGATCAATTCTTGGACTTTTCGCTCCAATATGGCATTGGGATCCGCTTTGATTGTGATGGTAGCAGTAGGGTTGATGCACATGATGCTTGGAGGAGTTTGCTTTATGTGTTGACAGCAGCAATGACGAGTAGACTACCTGGTGTGCCAATTGGTCGATCGGCTGATCGGCTGATCGGCTGATCGGATTTCGTCTTCCGTCAATACGGGAGAACCAACCAGCTGGCCCAAATAGTTTAAAAAACCTACCGAAAGTGTTTGGCAGCAAGATTCTACTGATCGCACGTTGGCCGCGTCAAACTCGACGCGGCGCGACGCAAGGCACGAGGGCAACAAACAATGACTTTTTTTTGAAAAAGAAAAGACCTCTTCCTTTTTTTGGACAAGAAATTTTTGGATTCGAAATTCCCTTCAGCTTATTTGGTCGTCCCCTCCCTCTTTTGTCAAAATGAAGATCATTTTTAAAATTCTCATTCATTCCACAAAACCAAAACAGTATCACCCTCTCCACGACCAACCTCTATTGGTACTTCAAGTGTTTCAAATTATGGGACTCTTTGAGGAAGACTGCGAACGACCAGCTTGCGATGATGTCAAAAAGATGCTACCATCCTCATTGGATGAGGCAAAACAACTCTCCCAAAAGCTAGCATCGAAACAAAAGGTGCAATGTCCACCCCGAAGTGCGGAACTCGGACGCTCTTCCTGGAAGTTGCTACACAGTATGGTGCGTTTTTTTTTTTTTCATAGCTAAACTGATGAATGAATGATTACACGAAAGCGCAATGCCAAGCAAACTTGTTTCTCACTCTTTCAATCAAACCTAACTACTATTCATTGTAGGCTGCCTGGTATCCTGAAACACCCACTCAAGATCAACAAACAAACATGACGGCCTTTATGCGAACCTTGGCCGAATTTTATCCCTGTACATGGTGTGCTAAAGACTTTCAAGAGAGTATAAAGGAGGCACCAGTCAAGTACGTAGCATCTTGCATCAAATGAATGTGCATTCAAAAGCTTGATGTGGTTGTGGATCATGATGATATTGCACTCATTTCGATATCGTTCCTGACTGTTCCATTGCTCTTATTTTCATTTCAAATTGATCGATATTGTTCCTGCCTATCCTCCATCCATTGCTATCATTATTGCCATATACAATACAATGCATTCCATGCAATGTAGAGCCGAATCTCGAACAGAACTTTGCATGTGGCTGTGTGATCAACACAATCGGGTCAACAAGAAATTAGGGAAACCAGTCTTTGACTGCAACATGAAGAATTTGGACGAACGATGGAAAAAGTCCACCAATCCCAAATGTCAATCGGATCATTAATGGAAACCAAGGAGATGAACATAGGAGAGGGCCGGTTCACACACCAGGGTACCGCCGTGCTGTCCCACTATTGGAGCTGACGGTATTAGGAAGGTGAAAGAGTCGCACCTTACTGGATGCTGAGCCCACAACTAGAACGAAACGCTATCATAAAATAAGCTATGAAACAACTACAAACAAAATTGTTTGGTATATTGTCTTTCTGATTCATTCATGGCTACAAGGCACACAATTTTCCTGTCTCTTTTCTCTTCATTTCCCTACATACTTTTAGTTGGTAGATAGGAACCGAGGTGAAGCAACGATACACGAGTCTCGTTCCAATCTCTCATCATCGTTACTCCTATTTTACATTTTATCATGCAATCCAATATTTCCTCAATGCGGCAAGAGTGACTTGGCCGGGTTCCATTCATCTTTTTCATCCGTTTGCCATTCCCAACGATTCCACAAAACAGAGTCAGGTCCACCAATCATGCATTCCAGGCGTGATGGTTTGAATCGATAGAGCTGAATGCAATCTTCCACGGTTTCATCAGAAATTTCTCCATTTTCCAATGCCAGTCTCGTCGATTGAATCATTTCCGTCATGTGACTCTTATTCTGCATGGCAAGGCGTTTCTGTTCATGTTGTGGTTGTTGTTGTTGTTGTTGTTGTGGGAGCAATCAATATAGTAATAGAAAATGTGAGTACAACAGCGGCCTCTGCAATAAAGGCAATATCGATCATTTGTGAATGGCATAAAACGTACCCCTGACACTTCATCCCTCAATTCTTCCACATGGGCTCCATTTTCCTGTTCAATGGACTTGGAACTCAACATGGCCACAATCGAGTAGGTTGGCAACTTGTCCCGAATCTCACTCAAGGGACGTGTCTCACAGACACCTTCCCCACGCCATTGTTCCACAGTTTCACCCGGCATGTAACGCCCTTGCAAATGAAGTATGCTCAAGGGCTTGCCCGCTGCCAAGAAATCACTCGTGTCGCCGCCTTTTTTCATAATGAAATCAATTCCATCTTCCGAGACTCGTTGGACACCCACGGTTCTCAAATTGGGAGGCTGTAACACAATTGAATTTGAATGAATAAAGGAATAAGAAGAATTGGATTGTTGTGAGGATCATGATGAATGAGATACACATCTGTATGATTTCTCATTCCAAGAATCATCAGTGTCGTTCTGATGTTTCATCCTGCACGAGCCATCAGGACCTACCTGTGTTGGATCATCCGGAGAGACGGCAATCGAAAAGGTCCAGTGAAGACCAGGACGTCGATATCCATGTTCATCGCACAAATTGCGTTGGAGACAGCCCTTTTTAATCACCTCCAACGGATTCGCTCCCGGTGATTTGGTTGCCATGGTGCGACAAGAAAGGAACCTTCCAGGTTGCTGCTTCAACAGTGTGATTGTGGAAATTCGGAACATGGTTGATGATTTATATGAGTTGTAGCTTTGTCTATTGAATTTTGAGACTGTTGCAGATTTTGTTGTTGTTTATCTTTTGTTCTTTTTTGTTGTGGTGGGTGTTGTCGTCGTTTTTACGCTTGCAAGTTGAAAGTACCTGGTAGGTGTCAAGCAGAGAGAACAAGTCGATGATCAAAAGAGAAGCCGTGGAATATCTTTTTTTCGTGACGCGCGATGATCAGACGGTGGGCGGGCGGGTGGTTCATGGTTGAGGGAAAAGATTGAAGATCTTCGCGGTCAGGCGGGTCTGGATTGACCAATGCCTCTATCCGAAATACAAAGCCCGCCTCCAATCTGAATCCCGGTCGATCATCAGCACTCCCAAAAAATTTGCATGATCCATTGCCTCATTTATTTTGTCGTCCACCTTTCCTTATCCATCATGCCGGAATATCTCATCAACGTAAGTATTCTAATTGAGGCACAAGGGGCTATTTTTCTTTGCCTTGACAGTGTTTTGATTGATTGGAAAGGCAACAAAGACTAATCCTAGTGCCAACCTCAACGACCCTTTCTCCCACCGAACTGTGTTCTTATTATATATACATGTCTATTACTATTATTCTATTCCAGCGCGCGCCATCTGGACGAGCCACTTGCCAAGGCTCCAAGGAAAAGATAGCCAAAGGGGACATACGCATGTCTGTATCCAACGATACTGGAGATATGGTCATCACCAAGCATTGGAAGCTCGATTATTTCAAAATGCCACGCAAATTTGCCAACATGGACGTGGATGATTTTGTAGAGAATGAAGTCACCATCAAGGAAGAAGATGAAATTGAATTGGACGAAGTATTGCGCCTGCTACGAGCTGCACCGGACAATTTGAAGAATAAAAAGGCTAGTCCCAAAAAGGGAGGCGATGGAGACGACCAACCCACATTGATGGACAAGATCAAGGCAGCGGCGGAAACATCGCAAGACGAACCCATGGCGAAAAAGGTCAAGACGGAGCTACCAGCAGATTTTGATCAACTTGTCGAAGAATACAAGAAGCTAATAGCGGACAAACCAAAGGTGGAGGCCCTCAAGGACTATTTGCGGTGAGTTTGGAGGAATAGTCAGTGATTTCTGATTGCGGCACGACCGATTGATTCTAATCCTGTTCCAATTTTCTCCCAATATGACAATAATAAATAGTTGGAACAAACAAGTCATCAAGGGAAACAAGGACTTTGTCATCTTCAAAGTCATTGACGGCAAGGTCCATGGACGACTGGGCTATTGCGCTTTGGATGGAGGTCGTCTCAAGATGGAAGAGGACTGCGTCACGGTCGTTTCCATGGGCACCTTTGACGAGACGCTCAGCATGCCGATTCCTTCCGATTTCAAGGCACCACGGTTGGACCCCAAGTTGCAACGTCTCAAGTGGTTCAACCAAAAGCCAAGCGAGGAAGAAGAGGAGGAAATGGATAAACTGTACGAAGACGCAAAGGCCATGGGCCAAGGTGGCGCTGCGGGTGCCTCCGGTGCTTCTGGTGAAGGTGGTGAACTGCGTCAAGAATTGTTGGACGCTGCGGAAAATATTGAAAATTGGTCTCTGGCAAAGGCAGACAAGAAGACTCTAAAAGGCTACCAAGTGGCCATCAAAGCTATCGGTGAGGGGAAGATTGCCTTTCCAGAGGGGAACAGGGTCAACAATGAGATTGGGCAACTCCTAGTACAAAACAAGAAAGCAGATGCTTCTGCCAAGGAAGTCATGGGATTGGTTATTGACAAATTCGGTCTAGTAGAAGTCAAGGAGAAGAACGAAGCTGCCAAGGCGGAAACTATTGCTACTAGCTGTGCTTGTCCAGAAAATGGGAAAATGGTTGCCGCCTTTGAGGAACTTGCGGGATTGTACTTCAAGGAGGGCAACCGAAATGCTGGATCCACCTACAAGAGGGTTTCATCAGCCTTGAAGGATTTGGAAGTAGAAGTCACGGCCAAGAATGCGGTAAGTTATTCTATGGATGAGCTTGGACTTGTTGTTTGCACAACGAATCGATCAACATCTAACTCCTTCGTTCTTGTTCCAATATTTTATATCATCCAGACGTCCTTTTCCAAGGGCAAGACCAAAATCCAAGGAATTGGTCCTTCCAGTGCCAAGAAGATGTTGGAATTTGCTGAGACTGGTACCATGGAAAAGTTGGAGGAGAAGAGGAAGTTGAGTTGAGGAAGTGCGCAATTTAATGTTCCGCAGCAGCTGATGTGTGGCACCAAACCAAACTAGTAGTGTAGATATATAAGAAGCAGAGCATCATTCCATCACCGAATAAACTTGCTTTGGCAATGGATTCATCGATTCATTTCTGATTGTTCTTTTTCTCCAGTACTTGATAGTGAACTGTCTGTCTTTAGGATTCGGAGAACATTTCGTGCATAAATCCAATTGGGTTTCTTTTTAGGTGAGGCCGCTTCTACCTCTTTGGCGGCAGTCAACTTTCATAGTTGCAAGAGATGACGATGATGATAGATGGAATGAGAATGGTATAGTTGAAGAATCGCACCACCAGCGGCAACAACTGAGGTACAACACATATGTGGACTTACCTGTGATCGGCGCAGTAAATTGATGGTAGCGTGGGGCGTCCATCGAACGGCATCATTGGCGTTGGCAATGGACTCGAGGTCCGGCTTGGCACCCTCCATAGTTGACAAGTACTGATCAAAAAACCTGTCCACCATATTGGCTGGAAGTGCATGTCCTGGTAAGAGCTGCTGGTGCCCCAATATTTTACTGTCGTAGGTGGGGTGGAACAAGGCCCTTCCTACAATGTTTTCTGAGCCCGTTGCTTGAATCGAAGGCTCCAGCAAATCATCAAAGATCGCCGCAAATTCCACAAAGTTGTCATCGTACTTTGTCGGAGCAAGGATAAGCAGTGTCGCAACTTCTTCTTCCGGCAAAGTGGCTAGCTCTTGGACCCCCTGCCAAAAGGCATGTGCCAATGTGGCTGCTGTTGTAGGATTCATCCTTCTATCGTCATCCTTTACTAAGAGAGGAGCAGAATGGCGAATCACAATTGGACCTTCGGCAACTCCTGCACTGCCCAGACCAACGGCTGCTTTTTGTAGTGAGCTCGTGTAGGGACAAAGACTGAGCCCACAAAGCTTTTCTTCCACCCACTTTTCCGTATTTTTTATGGATGCCTGAATTTGACTGCTACTAGTAGTCTCCGTTGTCTCCTTTGAATTGTATGATTGGTCATTCTTAGTGTTCCATGTCAATGAGAGCTTGGTGGCTGGTGCTGCCGGCCAACTGGATACCTCCAGTTTCAAATCTCCAAGTCGCTCCGAGTTTCGATTCACAATCTCCACTAAAGATTTGAGATTTGCTTCAGAATCCAATTTTGGTAGCCACAAAGACACGTCGTTGCCTTGTTGTTTCGCAAACACCAATTCAAACAATCTAGCGGCGAGATTATGGTCACATGCTGTCAAATCGGGTTCCCAATAGAAGACTCCTTGCACAGTTTGTTTCTGACAATCTCCCTTCAAGGCATCGCCTTGTCCCAGTGCCCATCGTGCCGCTGGTGGCATAATGAGAAGATGCAATGAGAATCTAGCTTTCACTGAGCGGAATTCCAAAAGAAGGAAACCGCAAAGTATAGTCCATCTATTCATTTGCACATGGAAGAATGTTCCCTTCATTTTTGTAGCTCCCATATCCTCGTGTGGTTGCGGTGTTGAGAGTTATATTGTCGGATAAAATGATGCGATGGGTGATGATGGCCGGGTGATGGATCCAGCCCGTGAGTCAATTGAGTCCCGTCCATGTCCTCACCCGGATGTACAAGCAACGTCAACAAAAGCATCTTGCCTATATTTTGCATTCAAAACAATCGATAGTCAAAGACTACCTTCTTTCGTTTGTTGATACAGTAGAATGGGACTGCAACGCTATCATGCACTGATTTTCGTATCCATATTGGTTGCAATAAAGGCATTTTCTCCTTTGCAGAACAACGTGATTCACAGTCGCACTTGGTTCTTTGCTCCTGCTGGAGGAGGAGATGACACCACCACCACATCAACAACGAGGAATGATTGTTGGTGCACAAAACTCTTTGCCAAAATGTCCAAGTCCGACGAAGAACGTTTGCTCCTCTCGGAACCAGCCTTGACCGCCTTCATTGTAGCCGAAATGCGACATTTTCTGACCAGCAAATCCAACGAACCTGGCAAGTTAACAAAGTGGGAAATGTCCGACGAGGAACGGCTGGATCTGAAACTTGTGGACGACCAAGGAGAAATCATTAATGACGAATATGAAAAAGCCAAGGCTGGTCTTACAGATATGGAGGCAATTGATTTGTTGTGCAATGCCACACAATTGACCTTTTATGACGGATACACCAATGAACAAGGGATCATGTCGGCACTGGGTTCGGCCATTTTGTTCTTCAAGGAGCCTCTGAGAGGCTCTCCCAAACTGCTAGCAGCTTGTGAGATAGTTGGCTTGTCAGACTATGCAGTGGCGCATCATATTACCGACATGTATCACCATCGGTGTTTTCGAGGGACCTACACCAAAACCTTGGCCCCAAGTGGGGAAGGCGAGATCGCGGCGAGGCTAGCCGTGGGTTTGAAGGAGACCAATAGTCAGAACAGCGAGAAGGAAAGAACTTCCAAGAATATTAAAGCTACTAGGGGTGCTGACGAGAGAGACGAAGGGGATGAATGTCTAATGTGGTCACCAACGACTCCAGGTGTGTGCTTGCACTGGAAGTCTGACGAAGAAGCATGGAGAAGAAAACGATTTGAGAGAGTTCAGATGGAGGGCACTCGAGATCCTCGGCGAGGAGGTTCGGGAACAACGAGATAGCAGTAATTTTATTAAACCTAAAGTACCTATTCATTTCCAAAGAAGGGAATAGATTGGCCACCAGTAGTGGTGGTCGAATGAATCTAGTCCCGACGTGCCTGTCCTTCACTACTCCACGATAGAACGCTGTAGAAAATGTACTGAGTGGAGTTGCAGTTGAAACCTGTCAATGATCAACCTCCGAGCTCCTTTCCTTTTGACCATGCAAGAATAAGCCTCAATTTTTTTGCATTGGGTTTGTCTTTTCGCCTTTTGATCTTATTGGTGCTTCTGGTTTGGTCCAATTGAACCAACAGCGAAGAGAAGAAGAGGAAGAAGAAAGTGAATTGAATATACAAGCTCTTAGCAAAAGCGATGCTAATACAATCGGTACGATTTTCATACAGTAACTTTTTTTGAAACGAAAAAGTATTTCATCGATTGTTTTTGCTCAACAAACGTTAGCAGAATTTTAAATCACAACATAGGGCTCTGGATAGCCGTTTGTTGATTTGATTGAGCCGAGAAATCCGAGGTTGAAACACTTGTCTTTGTGTGTATATATATTATAGAAGCAAGAGAAAGCACAAAGGGAAAGTGAATACCAAACTTATCTTTTTTGAATTCTAATATATAGTCTGTTGTCGCTACAATGACGGCAGAAGATTCAGCTGCTGAAAAGAAGCGAAATCGGTTGGAAGCTTGGAAACGGCGGAGGCAGCAACAGGCAGTGCCAGCGGCAACAACTGCCAATGGACAGGCGCTTCCACCACCTCCGCCTCCCAAACCCGCTGTCAAAGTTTCTCTGTCCTTAGCCAAGGGCAAGAAACGAAAGAATAAGGAAACCAAAGTCATCTCGGCTCCCAAACCAAAGAAGCCGATTAATCCGTTTGGAACAGTGGATGATGATGACGATGATGAATCTGATGACGAAGGTGGAAATCGAAAGGGAAAACTCTCCTTGGGTCTTGGATTCTCCCTCGACACCGAGGAAGAAATGCAAGAGCCTTCCCCCAAGCGACGAAAACGAGGTCGATGGGACAGTAAAGAAGATGAGCGCAAGCCCTCTCCCTCCAAGAAAGCGCCTGGAGATGCCTTGGACAAATTCATGGAAAAGCTAGAGGCAGGAGCAATGGGAAATGTAACAACCCAAGTTTCCGAAACGAACGGTCAAGAAATGCTAACCATTGATGTTGGTGGCAGTATGATGCGAGTTCCTAAACTCGTCAAATCAGATCCTGTCACACCATCTTCGGGTGGAGTCATTACGGCCGATCAGCTGGCGAAGCTATCTTCGAAAAAGCCGAAACCCTCCAAAGATCCGGACGCACTCTACACGGCAAGTGACTGGGAAAGCGACCAGCAAGGTAATACCAGTGCTAGCGAACCCGAGACGGACGACGAGGAAGAAGAAAAGGCGCGTCGTGCCTTTATTGAAGCGTTGAAGTCGACTCCTGGACCAGCAACCGAAGCGGATGTAGAAGAGTCTAAACCATTCCTTGCAGCGGAAGTCAGGAGTGAGAAGCAGCGACGAGAGCAACGACTTAAGGAGTTGGAGCGCGAGGCTGAAGAAGCACGGTCATCGGCACAGGCCGCCGCGGCGCCGGAATTTGGTCGGCTGTACAATGATACCGAAGGCGGGGTTATGGAAGAAGCCGAGCGGAATCTCGATGCAGCCATGGCTGCTCCGGATGCGCTACAAGTGCTAGCAGAGTTGAACAAGAAAAAAGAGCTCAAGGCCGTGGACCACTCCCGAGTGGAATACCTCGATTTCAAAAAGAATTTGTACATTGTCCCTCGTGCCCTGGCCAAGTTGAGTCATGATGAAGTTACCAATATTCGAGGGAAGCTCAAGGTCAGGGTTCGGGGTCACGGGGCTCCCGCTCCAGTGTCGACCTTTGAACAATGTGGATTGTCCGAACGCATCTTGACGGTCATGCAAAAACAAAAGATCACTGCCCCTTTTCCGGTACAAGCGCAATGCTTGCCTTGTATCATGGCTGGGCGTGATGTGATTGGAATTGCCAAAACTGGTAGCGGAAAGACACTGGCCTATCTACTACCTATGCTTCGTCACATTCAAGATCAACCAGGGTTGGCACCTGGCGAGTCAGGACCCATTGGATTGGTCTTGGCACCCGCTCGAGAACTGGCATACCAGATTCACTTGGTGTGCAAGAGTTTCACGAAACAGTTGGGTCTCAAGACGACTGCTGTCTATGGTGGAGCTGGTGTCGCAGAACAAATCGGCGATTTGAAGCGAGGAACACACATTTGCGTGGCAACTCCTGGTCGGTTGATTGACATTTTGACTATGCAGTCAGGAAAGATTCTATCGCTGGGACGTGTCACTTATGTGGTCATGGACGAAGCTGATCGAATGTACGATATGGGATTTGCTCCCCAGATCTCGGCTATTTTGACAGCAGTGCGACCGGATCGTCAAACGGTGCTATTCTCGGCTACCTTTCCAAAGTCTGTGGAAAACTTGGCTCGAAAATCTCTCAAGTATCCCATCGAAGTCATGATTGGCGGTCGATCTGTGGCATCTGATACGATAACTCAATATGCAGAGCTGGTCGAAGAAGACGACAAATTCTTGAGACTTTTGCAACTACTTGGAGAGCAAGTGGATGAAGAGAAGAAAGCCATTGTATTTGTGGACACCCAAGTCAAGACAGATGCACTTTTCGAACAATTACTTCGAAGCGGGTACAGCACGCTATCTCTTCACGGCGGCAAAGAACAAGAAGATCGTGATTCCACAATCTCTGATTTCAAACGCAAAGATGGGCCAAGTGTCCTTGTCGCTACAGGTGTTGCCGGTAGAGGTTTGGATGTCCCTTCGGTCCGCTGTGTGATCAACTTTTCGTGCCCCAATCACTTGGAAGCATACGTCCATCAAGTGGGTCGTACTGGACGTGCTGGAAAGAAAGGTTTTGCATACACATTGGTGAATCCAACCGACGAGGCCAAGTTTTCACCCAATATTGTGCGAGCTTTGACCGAATCCGGTCAGATTGAGAATATTGAGCCTGCTTTGAAGGAAGTTTCGGATAGTTTCAAGGAGAAGGTAAAAAATGGCGAAGCTAGATGGGCTGGATCTGGCTTCAAGGGCAAAGGGTACACATACGATGCCTCGGAGATGAACGAAGCACAAAAGTTTGCTCATTTGGAGAAGCGAAAGGCTCTCATCGAAGCAGGATTACTCGATCCAGATGATGAAGACCCAATGTCTGCCGAGCCAAGTGCCGCCCAAATGGAGGAGGATTTGGATGCGATGGCCAGTTCGGGTGGTGCTGGAGGTGATAATGCTAAACAAAAGGAAGCTTCTGAAGCTGAAAAGGCACTTGATCTGCAGACAAAATTAACACCTGAACTACTTGCTTTGCCTGGTATGAAAGATGCTATCTTGCGTCGTGCTGGAATCATCAAGGAGACGACCGAAGACCCATCACTTGGCCATCCAGTGCAAATGGGATCCAACCACTTTGTGCAAGAATTCGAAATCAACGAGTATCCGCGAGAAGCGAGATGGAAGGTCACGCAAAAAGAGACAACATCGCGTCTTCAAGATGAATTTCAGACTGCAGTTACGCTCAAGGGTGAATACTTTGGATCTGGAAGAAAGCCAGAGGGTCAACAAAGAAAACTATACCTACATTTGGAGGCTACGAGCGAACGGGTGCTTGAGAACTGTGTCTTGGAGATCAAAAGATTACTCAATGAAGAAACGCTGCGAGTGGGGGCAAAAGGTGGTAGTAGCCACAAATATAACGTGCTCTAGTGACACAGCAACGACTACATTCTTGGAGATCAAAAGTTCACTCAACGAAGAAACACTGCGCGTGGGGGCAAAACGCGGTAGTAGCCACAGATATAACATGCTCTAGTGACAACAGCAGCGACCACATTCATTGTAAATTGCCCTTCACAACTACAGTTCAACATTTGAGCACTGTGGAACTTCTGCCTTCTGGTACAGGATGCGCGTCTATTCTTTTGAATCATCATGTACAGGATGCGCGTCTATGCTTTTGAATCATCATGTACAGGATGCGCGTCTATGCTTTTGAATCATCATGTACAGGATGCGCGTCTATGCTTTTGAATCATCATGTACAGGATGCGCGTCTATGCTTTTGAATCATCTTCTGCTCGAACCGAATCTTCGCTCTCACACGGACTCTGATTTGTTCTGACCAAGATTCGATTAACATTCGCCGTGATCACTTTATGAGCTTTTGAAAAACCCCGCGAATATTTAAAAAACGCCTTTTTCTGCATTTTATGGCACAAAAGGTTGTTGTGCACCATGAAGATCTTTATCTCTTCTCTACTGCTTCTTGGCAGTGCCTTAGCCAAGCCCCTTCCAAATTTCTTTCAAGCCAAGACACTCGATGAGATTCGCAAAGCCAGTCAATCCGAGAAAACCATTGAGGACGTCCTCCGCGGGCGTCGGAATCTAAAAAATCGTCGACTCGAGACGTCCACGCACATCCTTGCAGATCGATTTGGGGGCACTCCTGGATTCTACCATTCTGTTGCTTCAGGAGACCCATTGGAGGATGCTGTCGTCATTTGGACTCGCTACACCCCCGTCACTATGGATGAAGAAATCACCCTCGAATTCCGAATGGCTGCAGTGGATGCAGATTTGGAGTCTGATGCCCACTTGGATCCAGCTATGAACTCTGCCATTAAGCGTGGATTGGTTACTGTGACAAAAGAAACAGACTTTATCGCCAAGATTGATATCACCGGGCTTGAATCTAATACTCACTATGTCTACGCCTTTCTGACAGCAGAGGAAAATCCGGTCATTTCGGATGTCGGTTTGACAAGAACGGCTCCAAGTTCTGTGGACGATGCCGAATCTTTGACTTATGCTTTTTTTAGCTGCTCTCATTTCTCAAACGGTTTCTTTCATGCCTATGACATTGCTTCATCTGTTGAAGACATTGATCTTGCAATCTTCGTTGGCGACTATTATTACGAGTATGGAAACTTCGATACCTATGCCAGAGAGGCTTCTGCTTTGCGCGACGACAAAGTCCTTCCTATTTGGGAAGTCATTGACCTTCAAGACTATCGTAACCGACACTCCACTTACCTTGCTTATGACGAAGGTCTGCGTAATCTTCGTCGCCGTGTCCCAATCATGGCTTTTTGGGATGATCATGAAACCGCCAACGACTCGTACGGTACAGCAGACATTATCGGTGCTATGAATCACCAACCGGTTTGTTCGGCCAATGCAACATCTACAAACGAAGAAAAGAGTGCAGCAGAATGCGATAGAGATGAAGGTGATGCTGTGGCTCGATTCGAAGCTGCAGCCCAAGCCTACATGGAATGGCTCCCACTTCGGTATGCTGCGGGCAGCATGGGTCAGTTGAACATTGGAAGTATCACAAAAGTCATTGAATGGGGTGAATTGGCCACTATCGTGGGTGTGGATACTCGAGTGAGCTATCGTACTTCGGCTGGTGGTACCGGTACGTTTGATATTTGGGAGGGATGAATTCTCAAATGTGACATTTTGACAATCTTATACAATCACTATACAGCTTTTGATAATCCAAGTTATGGGTTTGTTGCATTCAATGAAACCAATGTGACGGCGTATTCCGACCCCTCGACATTCGCTTATGAGATTCTCCAGGGGGCTATATCTCAAGATCTGGCGGAGCGAAACATGGGGAACCGTAGCATTATTGGTGAATCCATTAGTGTTCTCGAGACGGCCTTTGAGCGAAGCAAGGCAGAAGGAAAACCCTGGCAGATCTGGGCTGGCAATACCATGATGGGTCACTATGTCCTTCCCGATCCTGCTAAACTTTATTTGGACGCTCCCGAAGCCTTCCAATCAGCACTCAAGGATCTGTGGGATTTTATCCTTCCTTCTGAAGATGGTCTCATTCCAAGAATTGTGTCTGCGCTGGCCCAAGCCGATTTGGAGTGGAACTTGGATGACTATTCCGGTTTCCACAATGAACGCATGAAGATCGTTGACCTTGCGCAGACAAAGACCAACAATATGATTGTCCTTGGAGGCGACTTGCACGATGGTTTTGCATGGCAAGTACCAAGCAGTGGTCTGAGCGAGGGCGAACCAGTTTTTGTCAACTTGGGATGCGCCTCGGTCACATCCCCAGGGTTTGGACCAAACTTCTTTCCTTTCTTTGCTTCGATTCAGGAAGCCATTGGGGGCAAGGGAGCAGTCGTTGACATTCTTGAAAAGGCTTTCCTTCGTCAAAATCCAAACCTGAAATTAGTCAACTTGGACCTGAAAGGACCCACTATCGTCACCGTGACAGGAACTACTCACACGGCTGAGTATTTCGGAGTGACAGATGAGGATCGCCTGAGTGATTATCCTGATGCCCGAAAAGATTCAATGACCGCAAATCCTATTTGCAAGGGAAGAGTCGTGACAAGGGCAGATGAACCAGGTTCGTTGGCCGCCTTTGAGGACTGTTCGACGACTGTATTTGCCACTGAACGCCCGGCTGTATACAACTTGCCTGTCCCTGCAAGTAATACGGAAGATTTGAGTGCTCTATCTGGCTGCGGATACATTGGATGCAGTTTTGATGCGTCGACCGTTGTCACTGATGCTCCTAGTGCCGCCATGGAGGCAACGGATGCTCCAAACACTAGTACGACGATCTCTCCAGTTGCCCCAGCTGATCCCACTGCTGCGCCCAATGCTGCCGCCGGTTCGAGCGCTGCTGCGTGGTCGGAGTATTCATTCATTAGTGCTTTGATGTCATTTCTTTGTGTCGTGAGCGTCATGTAAGAGTAACTTCTAATTCAGTGTAGTCCTTCGATAAGCAATTATAGACTTCTATAGTTTTCAAAATCTCGTGAAGCAAGAACAGTGCCTGTCCGTCGATGGCGATCAAGATTTGGTGATGTGTTCCGGAGATATTGTAACTGATGGAGTGACGACATACAGTAATCTGTATTGTATTGATTGAAGAAAGGATGGACAAAGTAGATGTTTTAATGCTCGGAACCGGTGAATACACCACGTAAGTTGTGTGTGTAGCGATTGGTCTTGCGACGAAGCAACTTGGCTCAATTTGTTTCTTTCCATTTCGACACAGTGGTTATGTTGGTGGCAAAGCTGCAGATAGTGACAAGGGAGCTGGCGTTGTCGCTTTGACAATGTTCGACTTGCGCCGTCGTAACAAAGTCAACCGTGTTGGTATGTGTGGAGTGAATGTAAGTGTCCTCTTCCATCATCTCCTTTTTCATGCCGTTGCCGCTGTGCTGAAAGAATCATGTTTCAATCGTGTAGGGCAAGAAGTTTCCAGGTATCCGGCAACATATGCAACGGTGCATTGGTGATGTTTACGGCGGAATGGATCTTACCTGCGAGACCTTTCCTGGTGATGGTGAAGTCAACCCCAAGGCATATGTCGACGCATCCGCTACCTTCAAGGCTGGTGACGTTGGTGTGATCTTCACACCTGATGATACACACTTTGACATTGCCTTGGATTGTATCAATAAGGGAATGCATGTGATGGTTACCAAGCCGATTGTTCAAAAACTAGAGGATCATCAAAAGCTAGCCAAGGCAGCTGCAGAGAAGGGTGTTTTGGTTGCTGTTGAAGTGCACAAGAGATTGGATCCCTTTTATGCTGATGCCAGAGATCGTATTCGTGGTGGGTTGGGAAACTTCCAATACATGTATGCCTACATGAGTCAGCCGAAGCATCAACTTGAGACATTCAAAGCATGGGCTGGCAAGTCTTCCGATATCTCGTATTATTTGAATTCGCATCACATTGACTGGAGCGAATGGACCTTGGCGGGAGTTGCTCGGCCTATCCGTGTGACTGCCACTGGATCCACTGGCGTTGCCAAAGGCAAGGGAATGGATACCGAGGACTCGATCACTTTGACTGTCCAATGGCAAAATATGAATGATAAGACCCTAGGTTGTGCTGTCTACACTTCTTCGTGGGCTGCGCCGAAGAGTGATGTGCACTCTCAACAACGCTTCTTCTACATGGGAACCCAAGGAGAAATTAATGTTGACCAGGCCCACAGAGGATGTACCGTGTCAACGGATCAAGCTGGGTTTGCATCTGTGAATCCACTATTCATGAAATACACACCAACAAACGGAATGTTCTCTGGACAAGGAAGTTATGGTGTCCGATCATTCGAAAACTTTATCGATGCTTGTCGTGAAGTCAATAGTGGTTCAAAGAAGCCATCCGATTTCGATGATGGATCCTTGGCAACCGTTCACACGACACAACAGGGTACTGCAATCCTTGAAGCGGGACGAATGAGTTTGGATGCAGATGGACAGCCAATGGATATCGAGTACGACGGAGATGGTCATACTCCAACCGCTATCAAGCCTCATAAGTTCGAATAATTTCGCTTTATTAATTTCTAGATTGCAGATCTACTCACTTCATACTTGGGTTGCATTAGCTCCTTACATAGTCCTCTTCGAGAATGCTATCATGGATCTGATTTTGACAGATTGTTTAGGTTATAGAAGATGCTGCAGATGCTTCGAAGGAACAATCTCTCACCTCTGTATGTACATGTTTGATGTGGGTTGGAAATAAGTGCAATTTTTCAATTCTATGCATTTACTCCTTCATATAAAAAGACTTCCCCAATCGGATCCCGAACAAGACCCAGGAGCGTTTCATCCATGGTATCGGGAGCCCCCACCGCCAGAGTGAACTCCTCAGCAGCTTCACTCAAGGACACCGCTGCACCGAAAGCACCATTTTCGACATTTCCATTCATTGCCGGTCCAAGTTGCTTCCACATCGTGTTTTTCTCGTCAAATTGAAAGAGTTGAACTTGTCCACCGAGTCCATGTCCTCTCGCTCCAACTGCAATCGTCATCCCATCGTTGGACAACGAAATGGATACTCCAAAGCGATCGGAATTTGCAGCGCCAAGGATTGGTTGCCCAAGCCGCTCCCATATGTCAGTACTTCTGTTAAATCTGTAGACGCGGACGTGCCCAGCATCTTCGCCGTTCTCGTTATCATTGTTAATGCTGCCAACAGAGACAATATCACCATCACCTGACAAGGAAACGGAGGTCCCAAACACATCATGTTGAGCATCTCCAAAAAGAGGCTGACCTCTCCTCTGCCAACTCCCATCTATGTACTCGTAGATTATGCAGACTCCTGCTTCATCAGAAACCTCCTCGTTGGTTGGTGCCCCGACGGCTACCATATTTCCATCGTCGGAGATTGACACTGACCATCCTTCGAGGGCAGGACTGACACTGTATCGTATTTTGTCGCCTCTCATTCTCCATGCACCCCCTTCAAGACGATACACAACTGTATGGCTAGTGCCATAAGGAGAACCTATAGCTACTATGTTGCCAGACGAGGACAATGATACCGAATGGCCAAAACCATCTCCTCCAAAGGATGCATTGGGGTCGAATGGCTCACTAGCAATGTCATTTCCAATCTGAATCCATTCACTTACTGTCTCGTTCAACGAATAGACTCTTACACGACCACTGATATTGCCATCAACAGTATTACCACCAGGGATCCCAACTGCTATTACCTTACCATCCGAAGAAAGAGAGATGGAGTGACCAAAATTTACGCCTGTTTCATCAAGCCGCTGCATGCGTTCCCACTCACTAGTTTCATCATTTCGCTGGAACGATTCAACATATCCGCTGCTCCCGATCTGCGTCACGCTGTATGCAAGAACTCTGCCATTTTTGGATATGTCCACATCTTTTCCAGCAGTCTCGCCTTGAAGACCTTTCCAACTATCCACTTGTTCAAAAATCGCTGGCGAGGAAGTTGTTGGTGCAACGGTTGGAGCTGAAGTTTCTGCCGCTTTTTCTCCGTACTCAATCTTGTACACAACTGCAGACCCAAAACTGCCAATCATCTGGACAGGATAGGGAGAACCAATGGCCACTTTTGTGCTGCCTGTCGCATCCTGTGCAATCGCCAGCGAAACTCCAAACATTTCGTTGAAAGCCCTCCCAACGACGGAATCTGTCTGCTGCCACTCGTTCATACTTTCATCGAAAGAGAAGAGAGCAATTCGTCCTACTCCGTCAAAGTGGGGATCGCCAACCACAAGAACCCTTCCGTCTTGTGACAGCACAATGTTAGGCACCGTAGAGTCGCCCGAAATGAGGCGGACTGGCACTCCCAACGCATTCCAAACTGAGTCCACAGGATACTGGAAGGTTTGAATCACAATCTCACCCACGCCATTGTCGACACGACCAATTGCAACGGTGCTTCCATCACCGGAAAGTACAATGGAGGTACCACCATCTTGGAAAATGTTATCAGTCGCCTGCGTTGGTGTCGATTGTGCCCAATCCGAACCATCGAAATCAAAGATTCCCCCTTGTGTTTCACCCGATATCGCTATTCTTGACCCGTCATCGGAAAGGGAGAGGGAACGACCAGCCAGATCAGCGAGTTGTATTGAATTCCCAATTTTTGGCCATGTTCCATTGAAGGAACGGAACAATGTAATACGACCATCCAATGGTTCTCCGACTGCCAGCACACTCCCATCGCTCGACAACGCTACACTTTGCCCAAATTCAAAGCCCAGATAGGTTCCAATATTTGGATTATCGCTCTCAATCTCCCCGACAATGTTCCACTTTGTGCCAAATTCATTTAGGAGTAGTTCGTACACGAGGACCTTCCCAACATTCCGAATGTATCCACTGGGAGCCTTTGGAACGCCAACAGCCAAAAAATTTCCATCCCCCGATAGTGATACCGAATGGCCAAATTCGGAACCAATATTATCACCCTCGATTTTGGTGACAAATTTCCAAGATTTTGCATCGATGAGTTGGTATAAAGCAACATAACCTGCCGATCCAGCATCAATCGCGCCAACCGCCAGGGTGCTTCCATCCCGAGACAGGCTAGTGGAAAATCCAAAGCTATCGCCCTTACCACCTAGCAGTCTCTGCCCTAGTTTCTTCAAGAAGAAGCCTTCCGTTTCCTCTGGAATGCAGTAATCAGTATTACTGCTATCCAATTTACTTCCCAAGCAACCAGGAACTTCGCTGAATCAGTATGACACATAGCTCAAATTCCCTAGACTCGCGACAGACAGTCACACTTACCTTCATCATTGGCGGAACGTTGGAAGCAAACTAGACCAGCTTCACAGTCATCGGCTGCGTCAAATAGGTGGAGAAGGATGAGACCCAAAACTTTTGAATTTACTGAATTCGAGAGAAGTAGCTTTCGTACCTGTATCACAGTCTCCTTGGCATAGACCAAGAGGGAAGTTGTTGGTTTCTTCAACTTCTGGCAGTACTATAGGTACACAGAAATCGGTTCTGCTCTCGTCGTCCAAGCCACCTTCACATCCTGGCACAGCCTCGTTGGGATCCCTCTGGAAACACCTCAGGTTGAGATCGCAGTCCGCCTTATTATTGATATCCGTGATCATAGCGTGAGTGAATCACATGACAAAAACACAAGCAAGTATCTGATGGATAGTACACCTACATCTGTGTCGCAATCACCAAAACACAATTGCAAGGGAAAATCCTTGCTTTCTTGTAGTTGAGGTAGTCCAGAAACATCTGTGGGATTGGAAACATCCTCGTCGTTGACAATTGGTGCTTCTGGAATCGCTTTGGACGGTGACGTTGAAGATTCTCGAGATTTCATGACAGCAAACATAATGATTGCTCCAAGTCCAAATGCCGAAAGCATTCCAACCCAGTAGTAGACCCGCCATCCACAGCTCTCTTTTTCCTCTTCTGGTTTGTCTCCATGATTGCTGACGTTGTCCAAACTTCCTTCCGATTCATTGCTGGGGGCTTCCTCATCAGTTGACGTAGGGGTCACCTCCGCCGTTGTTAAGTCGTCTTTTGGAGCTTGGTTGGCCATCTTGTTGAGGCAAGAGAGGCCAAACAACAAGTTATGATGAAATGTGTATGTGGGACGCGTTAAGAATAATACTATGTTGGTATTTCTCACTCGTGAAACAACACTAAATAAGCTCGAAAATAAGTTCTTTCATTATTTTGCCCTCACAATCGTGACAACGCATTGATTCCTACCGTTGCGTTCCAAATCTTTGGCTCCCTTCTTTTTCTTGCTTCCCTTTGGCAATAGGAATCCTCGTTGTGGTACATGGGCTTGACCCAAGACCTCAAAACCACCAAAGTCCACCATCTCCTCAGCACTGCGAGTGACAAAGGCACATGGGGTTCGAGGCAAAATGCGTTGCCGCACCGACCGCAATATCTTGACATTTTGATCATCATCGTCCACACTACTATTGATTCCCCAAGGTAGATTGGCAATGACGCAATCGATCTTGTGGCCGCTGTCCGTCAATGTTATTGGCAAGGGATTGGTGGAATCATGTTGGCTGACTTGTAGTAGAAATTGAGGATCAGTCATTGCATCAGCAGTGGTGTCGGAAAAGAGATATTCCATATTGCGCTTGGATCCTTCGACGCATTGCAAATTGCAGTCGTAGGCTTCTATCCTCATTCCTCGATCCATGGCCAGCGCAAGAAAGGTTCCACTTCCACACGTCGGATCCAGTAGAGTCAATTGTGCTTCTTCTTCGTCATCATTGTCACTGTTGAATGGCAACATCATGTCCCACAATATATCCATGATGGATTCTGCCACTTGAGGATTGATGGCGGAGCTATATTGGAAGGGACGCTTGGACCAATCTTGTAGGATTGATAACGGATTTGAGAATGCAGACTCGCCGTCTTTTCGTTCTTGAATGACACCCAAGTAGCACTGCCGTGTAGTCCTACCATCTTTATCACAAAATGCATCCACCAACAAAAGTTGTTGCTTTGCTTCTTTTGGGTCCAAAGCCGGTGGAACTGCCAAGGCTTGGGCTACTGCTTGCAACAGTGAATTCTTGGTGTAAGTTGTTGCCGATTGTCGAGGATGATTCTTCGTTTCGCCGTCTTTTGCTCCGTCCATTCGAACATAGTTAAGGTTCCAATCCTTTTCAATTTCCAGCAACTTTGTATCTTTCGCTACTTCTTGCAAGGTTTGTACCAATGCTGCTGCCGAATCTTTCGTGCCGACCAAGACTTGAGCAATCCAATCGCATTTTTGCAAACTCGAAGGCGCGGTTGGTGATAGTAGAGACTGGTCCTCTTGGAACAGCGCACCATCACATTTTTCATCAAAAGTATCCAGCTGAAACAAGGTGGAACCCGTCGCACGATCCACCAGTAACTTTTTCACATGATAGGGTTCAACCTTCTTCTCGTTATCACCTTTTGCTTCTTGGCTACTCATTGCATTGAGTTCCACCTCCAACCATTGCAGCTCGGCAAGCTTGAAAGTTTCTTTTGTTTTGCATAGGTAGGTCAAGGAATTACAGTAAGACAACGAGAGAATTAGGAGGGTTGAGTGGACGCATTTCATTGCCACCCTTCCATAGACAATAAGTGATGATGTTGACACCGACGACATTTTAGGCGATATTTGAAACTATACAAGTACGTTGTAGCGCGACCAAGAGAGAACATGTCTGTGAGTGGAAAGTTACGATCAACCGAAGTCACAACTCAAAGCAACTAATAGATAGTCTGAACGACAGTGACAATCACACACAACAACAACAACAACAACAACAGCAGCAACAATAAATAGAAAATGGTTCAAACGAAATTCAACGCTGGAATGACTTGGTAAGGATTGCGCATAGCTGGATGATCTGTGTGAGATGTGAGACACGTCGCCTATAATTTAGAGGTTCCCAACCAATCTCTGACTTTTCTCATTGTCTGTTTGCATTCTTCAGCGGAGGCTGCTCTGGTGCCGTCGAGCGTATCTTGAACAAGGTTGACGGTGAGTTACGACGGCTATGAATTTTCTCCAAGTCAGGCACAATGTCTAACAAAAGGAAAATCCACCACGCAAATCTTTTGTTTCCTGATTTAGGAGTTACAAGCGTTGTTACCAACGTGGAAGCCAAGTCCGTCGTTGTCGATCATGATGAATCTGTAACTGCAGATTTCCTTTTGGAAAAGCTTTTGAAAGTAAGTCGTGTAGGCTACTGTAGTGGACTATTTTGGGAAATTGCAACTAACTGGAAGAATCCGTTTGTGGTTTTCTCTCTTGACAACAATATAGTGGAGCAATGCTACTGGAAAGGAAGTTTCGTTGGCATAAGATTGATATTTTGCAAGTAGGAATCCCAGCCTCTTTGTGAACGGATGAGAGGGGAGAGGAAAGCATCATCAATACACAAATTGCTTGCTGCTGAGGAACAAGTTCAATAGATCTCATTTGATTTCGTCAGCAGCGGTTTTGTAAAAACATGTATATAAAGAAGTTATTCATGAACGATTGAAGTGCAAAGGTTCGCTGTACTACAGTGTTATTATGCTGATTCATTCTTTGACTCTTCCAAGATATGGGGTTTATTATAATGTAGTCGAAGTATTCCGTCTCCAAGCCCACATAGATTCAAAAATAAAGCAAGTCATTCGACTGCGCGAATGTGCGCCGTACAAATCCTGGTAGCGGAATGCTGAGGAAACTCAAGGGCTGAGGTCATCATCCTCATCATTGCTACAGTATTACAAATCTAGCCGTTGTGATTGTTGTCTCCAACAAACTTGAAGCTTGGACCAACACAAAAGAATATGAGTTTCCAACCTCCCCCTCCACCCAACAATGGAGGTTTCCGACCGCCGCCACCACCAGGCGGGGGTGGTTTCGCTCCTCCACCGCCAGCACAAAGACCTGGAGCAGGATTCGCCCCACCTGGAAGACCTGGAGCTGGATTTGCTCCTCCTCCTCCAGCTGGCGGCGCTGGCATGGGACAACTTAATAAGGATATGGGGAAAATGTCATTTGCACCGCCTCCGCCAGGTGCTGGTGGTCCGGCTGCTGGGTAAGAAAAGGCTTTAATATGACAAAGTTTCTGGGATTGGCATGTCTCAACGCAATGCCAATCCATGATTTATTTATTTGAACGAAGGTTTTTGTTTGACTTTGAGAAGTGAAGACTAACTGATTTCCATTCTTTCTACATTTCCACTTTATAGTGGCCCTCCTCCACCTGCCGTTCCAGGACAATTTGCTCCACCAGGTGTTCAGCCGTAAGTGTCATTTCAAGGATTGATTTATTCAGTCATCGGCATTACTGCCATGATACAACCATTGGAATCGTGCTGTTGATAACTTGAATCGTGACGGGGATCGTAGTCATCCTTTATTATTTTGCTGACCTCGCCTTTTCCGTTTTCATTCCAATGTTATGTTACACACAGTCCACCACCTGGACCTTTTGGCAATCAATCTAGAGGTCTACCAGGACCACCTCAAGCACCTGTTGCCCCAGGAATGTTTCAACAACCGCAAGCTCCTGGTATGTTCAATCCTGGAGTTTCAAAACCAGGTCCACCGCCACCGGGACCTAGAGCTCCAGCAGCACCAGGAGCAGGTATGCAACAACAGCAACCTCAGGGTATGCCAGGAGCAGCTCCTATGGCTGTCAACCCAGCCGGAACTCAGCAATTCATGGACACGATTGACTATTCGATTACGATTCCAGAGCGTTTGTTCCGTTTCACAGCCAGCAAGATCCCACAAACACCTGCTCAGGCCACTTCCTCAAAAATTCCTCTTGGAGGTATTCTAAGGCCACTTGCGCCCTGTGGTGATGATGACGAAGAAATAGATACGGTGCAACCTGGAAGTGCTGGTATCATTCGCTGTAAGAGATGTCGAACCTACATTAACGCCTTTGTCAGTTGGCTGGAACACGGTCGCCGGTGGCGTTGCAATATTTGTGCCCAACAGAATGACACTCCAGCGGCGTACTTTTGCCATTTGGACGAGGCTGGCTTGCGTCGGGATCGATTTGAACGTCCAGAATTGTCCAAGGGTGTGGTAGAATTCCTGGCTCCCGCCGAGTACATGGTTCGTCCTCCACAAGAACCATCCTACTTTTTTGTGATTGACGTGAGTGCCACTGCCGTTCGCAGCGGAATGCTGCATGCAGCCTCCAATGCCATTAAAAAGAGTTTAGACGATCTTCCTGGAAGGGGTCGTACCAAGATTGGGTTCATTACATTCGACAATGCCGTACATTACTACAATTTGGGTTCGGATCTATCGCAGCCTCAAATGTTGGTGGTTTCAGATCTCAAAGAACTCTTTGTTCCCTTGCCAGACAATCTACTCGTTAACTTGGAAGAATCTCGGGATGTCGTGGAAACTTTTTTGGATAATCTTCCAGACATGTTTGCCAAGAATCCAGTGGTATCGCAGTCTTGTTTGGGACCAGCATTGAAGGCTGCCTTTACTGTCATGAAGCAAGTTGGAGGAAAGATGTGCGTCTTCCAAACTGTAATGCCCAACATGGGAGATGGTGCGCTGAAGCCAAGAGAAAATCAAGCAATCATGGGAACTCCCCAAGAAGTCAAGGTGCTGCGACCGGAAACACCATGGTACAAGGACACTGCGATTGAGTTTAGTCGGCAACAAATCAGTGTGGACATGTTCTTGTTCCCATACCAGTACATGGACTTGTCAGCAATGGGAGAACTAGCAAAGATGACTGCTGGAAACATGTATTCTTACGTCATGTTCAACTTTGACAAGGACTCTCAACGGTTCGAGGAGCAACTCAACAAATCGCTTACTGAAGAAACTGCCTTTGAGGCTGTCATGAGAATTCGCTGCACCAAGGGAATGAGAATAACGAATTTTTATGGAAACTTTTACATTCGGGGAACGGATTTGATGGCACTTCCAAATGTTAATTCGGATTCTGTCTTTGGTTTCGATTTGATGCACGATGAGCAAAATGTTGCCAGCAACTATGTCACCGTTCAAGCAGCGCTGTTGTACACGAGCGGTGAGGGTCAACGTCGCATTCGAGTCATGACGCAAGCATTGCCAATTACTAGTCGCACATCAGAAGTTGTCGATTCTGTGGATACACAAGCGATTTGCAACTTGCTGTGTAAACAAGCTGTTGATGTCAGTATGAAGACCAATATTGATCAGGCTCGAATGCGCCTGCAGCAAACATGTGTGGATATGATGCGCGGGGCAAAGGGAGGCGACAAGCGAACGGTTTCTGGATATACTGTTCCACAAGGTCCCCAAGATGCCAGTGAGGAGAAACCAATTCCCGAAACTCTTGAACTCATTCCTTTGTACACTTTGGCAATGATGAAGAATGTGGCGTTCCGAGGTGGAACCGATATCCATCCAGACGAGCGTATTCAAGCATTCCACCAAATTTTCTCCATGTGGACCAGCGTGTCCAAGTACTTTATCTATCCACGACTATTTTCTCTTCATGACATGTCTGCCGATTGTGGACACCCTTGCGACGATGATGATGTCCCAGACGAGTCCGTGGCGGGACGAAATAACATTCTGTTGCCAGACACACTTCCATTGTCCGTGGACAACCTATCCAGCGATGGTATTTTCTTGTTGGATAATGGTATTGAAATGTACCTTTGGGTTGGAAGATCAGCAGATCAAAACTTGGTCAACTCTCTCTTTGGATCACCCACGTTGGACAACGTTGACCCAGCAACGGTAAGCTTTGGACATGCAAAATTCTTTGAATGCTAAATGTTTTGTAGTCTCAGGGCTCACCCACTGTTTTTGTCCTTACAGGTTAAAATTGATATGGACGGAGATGATTATTCTACCAGAGTGGGGGATATCATTCATTCGTTGCGCGATGATTTGGCGGATCCTTTCTACGTGAGCTCAAGGATTCAAATTGTGCGGGAAGGGGATGGTCACATGGAAGCACGTTTCTTCTGGTTCATGGTTGAAGATCCTGCTTCATTCCAAGGCGGAACCTTCAGCTATGGAGACTTTATGCACTTTGTGCAACAGGGCGGCAACACTGTCCCTCCCGGAGGTCCACGCGGTATGCCGCAAGGAGGTATGGCTCCTGGTCCGCCAGGACCTGGAGGAATGGCCCCACCAGCTCCACAGCAATACGGTGGACCACCAGGACCTGGAATGGCTCCAGCGCCACAACAATACGGCGGACCACCGGGACCTGGAGGTATGGCTCAACCAGCGCCTCAACAATACGGGGGCCCGCCAGGACCTGGAATGGCCCCACCAGCTCCACAGCAATACGGGGGCCCACCAGGAGCTCCGGGACCTGGAATGGCTCCACCAACGCCTCAACAATACGGTGCACCTCAAGCTCAACCCCAGCAGTATGGTGGCCCACCTGGCCAGCCCCCAGCTTATGGAGGACCGCCATCCAACAATGCTATGGCTCCACCACCTGGTGGTCAACAATATGGTGGACCACCACCACCTGGCTCATCGGGCCGTCCGATGGGTACTATGATGGGCGCACCACCACCGAGACAGATGGGTGGCTCGGCACCAGCATCTGCACCTCCGATGGCATCTCGACCTCCCCCTGCCAGAGGTGCTCCTCCTCCACCTGGACGCACAACAGCCCGACCGGCTGGACCCCCACGAGGTGGTCCTCCACCGCCGCCACGTGGACGAGCTCCTCCTCCGCCCCCACCGCCGCCAGGCAGGCGTTAAGCTAGAATAATACTAAACTAGGAGAGACGCTTGCTTCTTGTGACTACGATATATATCCTTGCGCAAATAAGTGTCCCCGAATGGAACCCCTCCTATACTGCCGGAACTAAGTAGGTGTCTTCAGCCCTTCGGTTACACGCCAGCTTCAGAACTTCCTGTCGACGAAGAATGAATGCACTAAACTCGCATAATAACAATCGACTCTGTTTTCTTTACCAAGGGTTTATAATATTTTACTTCAAGTAGACAGTCTTAGTAGACAGTGTACCAAGCGAAAACTTTCTGACAGAAAAAGGCAACTTCCTAGAGATGAAAAGCTACCAGTACTCCTCCATCTGAAAAACCCAGAGAGGAAGCCAGATGATGTCTCACTATCCAACATATAACCGTTGTAAGCAAACGTGCAACTGCAACTGCAGCGTCGAAAATGACAAGGTAAGAGCTCCCTTCTCGAATTTGTACTGGAACGTGGGTGCAGCAGTGCCCACTGCCTTCGATTGACCAAGCAAGAAGTGAGCAGTGAATACTTCTTAACACCAAGGTTTTCTTCAACCCTATATCGTTTTCTTCCCATGTTACGTTGGTACGACCCACCCTCCTGCTTCACTTCGAATCCATACTTTTTCGACAATGGGATCCGCACCCAAGGGTCTACCAATTCGTCTGACACCAATCAGTGTTGCAAATGATCCTTTTGCTCTCGATGATGATGATGGTACTAGCAATGCAGAAGTGGCTTTTGGCACCAGTTGAACAGTATCTCCAGCTACCAAAAAGTCGGCCCATTCACTGCGTTTTCCATCGTTGGAATTGGAAGACTCCTCCGTCGTCTCTTGGGCATTCAATCCAGGGCCCCTCTTTAGCCAATACAATTCCGATCTACTTTCATTAGAAGAAGAACGGACTTCAATTCCATGTGCCGGAAGACTGGCTCCTATTCCCATACCACGGGCCCAATAGTATCCGCCCACGTGATGATTGGCCAATCCAATGCCTAGAACCGCTCCCTTTTCCAGAGAACTATAGGGAACATCCAGTTCGCCAATGACAATGCTGGAACCAGATCCTTGTTGTTGATTAATGGCGTCCCGGGTCGACGTGTCCACCACTTGAGTGTGTACAAAGAGGGCTCCCTCCAAGCAATCTAGGTTGGAGTCGTTGGCCAGAGTTTGGTCCAACGCTGCGTCGTCGTCGTGCTCATCATCATCATCATCATCATCATCACTTCGTCGCGCAACCGCTTTCTCGGCAAGCGAGAGTTCGAGCAAGAGACTGGGAGTTGGCAAGTCACTGAGCAAATCACCAATTTTGCAGGAAGGTATTGTTGGTGGACCTTCGGAAGAGGAAGACGCCAGATGACGTCTGATCGTGCTTATTCTTCTTGTCTCGATCATTCTTGGTAATGATTGCGTTGTTTGGAGTGGGTGGTGGTGATTTGGAAACAACATCTGGGTATGTTCCCCTTGATTCCTTGGTGCCAGTCCGAATCCATCGGCTGTCAACATTGTCGTTGAGACGCATGCAAAAGGTAGAAGTATTCTCATGCTGAACGATCTGATGTTGCAATTTATTGCAACGTTGGTGGAGGAAGAAATTTTTGGATTTCAATTCACGTGCAATTGTGGTGACGTTTGGGTCGTAGTGGTCAATTGATGGTGCGCCAAATTCAAATCAAAGGGGAATGAATCAATCTCCGGGTTTTGCATTGCTGAATTTGGCATCATTGCATCGAAACATCTTCCTTCATCACTATTGTATTGTCGACGGTAACAAAAAACCGAAGCATCTCAAAGAAAGTCTTCTTCTTCATCATCATCATCATTACCATGATTGTTCAAAAACCCTCTACAGATAATCCCAAACCTCGTGGTGCCTTTATTGTCTTTGAGGGCGTCGATCGTTGCGGAAAGACTACTCAAGTTGGATTGCTCGTCAAACATCTGATGACGGCAGGATTGGCGGCCATGGCAATGAACTTTCCCGATCGAACCACCATGGTCGGCGATCTCATCAATCAATATTTGAAATCGAAACAAGAACTGGACGATCGATCCGTCCATTTGCTCTTTTCGGCCAATCGATGGGAGGCTGTCCCCAAGTTGGAAGAAACCCTGAGTGAAGGTACCACCATTGTATGCGATCGGTATGCGTATTCGGGAGTTGCCTTTTCGTCATCCAAACCCAATTTGGCAACCGAATTGGAGTGGTGCAAGTCATGTGATGTTGGATTGCCAGCTCCAGATGCTGTCATCTTTTTGGATATCACACAAGAACAAGCTGAAAAACGAGGAGGGTAAGTTCGTTATTTTGAATCTCGATGCATTCTATTTTGGATTAGTTCATTGATTTCGCTCATGCAACTGTATATATATATATATGCATATGTGTCATTCTCCATTGCAGGTTTGGAGACGAGCGTTACGAACAAAGCGATATGCAAAAGCAAGTTCGAAAACAATTTGACAAACTGCAAAAAGAGGACGAAGCTGATGGTAGAGTGCCTTGGCATTTTGTCAATGCAGCACAAACAGTGGATGAAGTACAACACGATATTAATAAGATTGTCGAGAGTACGATTTCGTCTGTCCAAGAAAGCAAAAAGCCAGTGGGCAAGCTATGGAAGGCTGAAAAATAAATAGGGTTAGACGATTACGTCCACCAAATTTTAATAATTGTATTCAAGAAATCCCTTGCTTTCTTGTCCATAGGGAAGCACATCAGCTTTGAATCATCGGCGATAGGAATGTGGTGAGAAATTTCCCTTTTAGTGGAAGCTAATCCAGTTGTAAAATGTGACGTTTGCTGTGACGTTTGCTGATGCGAGGAAGCGAGATGCTGGCCCAAACTCTAAGCAACAGACACCTGTAGTTCAGTCATCTACAATTTTGGAGCAGCCCACCAACAGTACTCCCTATCTCTAATTGTATACAAGCTTGTCTCTTCTCTCCATTCTGGGAGCTTGGAACAAAGCTGGCGCAATTCCACTCAGGAGATTGAATACAGGTTGCTCCAAATCATTATCTACCTTCCCCAAGGCCCCTATGCTCGTCGTTTGGCAGATCATGACATTGTCAAAGAAGCTGCCTTAGCTTTGGCTCTCTAAGAGACGTCTCAGCAATGATCTATGCGCTTCCATACTCCCCTTCGTGTCAGTGTGATCGTCCCCAAGCGTTCGTCGACGAATCTTGAGGGCTTCTGCACTCGCAGCAATTCCATCGTCTAGCAAACCTTGTTCGATCTTCACAGCCGAAACATTCTCGTAGACTGCCATCATATCGGGATGAGTATGAAGAAAGGTTTCCTTGTAAATATCCAATGCCTCTTGGAAGAGTTGAATCGCCTTGTCCATATCGCCTTGCACCCTCATTGCCAGCCCCTGTTCGTTCAGTGCTCTCGCAATTTTCCCGCGCTTCAATGGTTTTAGGACACTCACAAGCTCCTGCGTGCGGGGATGTCCATTGCCAAGTACCTTTCGACGAAATTCCAGAGTCTTGGTGAGAGCATTGATGCACTCGTCCAGCATGTCTTGTCCTAGATATGCGTCTGCAAGATTTTCATAGGCATCTGCTGTGGAGGGGTGCATTTCACCTAGCGTTTCCTTTTGTACCATTAGGACTTTGTTCAGCGTTCCCGTGAAACCTTCGAGGTCGCCTTGGACTTCCAGCATTCCTGCTTTTGTGCTGAGCGCTCTTACCAATACTTGTGTGTTGAAATCTCCCAGTCCTTTTAGCCGATAACAAACTTCGATGCTTTTATCAAGCATCTGATGGGCATCTTTCGGCCTATTTTGTTCATACAACAACCCTGCAGTGGCAATGTATACAAGTACAACGTCGGAGTGGTCTTCCCCATATACTTGTAGTAGGTTCGCAAGTACTTCTTTTTGGATCTTCTGTGCTTCTGAAAATTTGCCTTGTCTTTGCAATGATAACGCTAGATTTTGGTTCAGATTCATCAACGCAGGCGACTCTAGCGAATGAAACTTGCTCTTGATGACCACAACTGTTCGGTAATATTTTTCGGCTTTTTCGTGGTCACCAGATTCCATAAAGACGCTGCCAATCAGTTCGTAGGTTTTTACTGTATCATCATGTGATGCTCCCAATTTAGTATGCCGTATCTCAAGAGCTCTAGTCAGTGTCTCCAAGGCTTCATCATATTTTCCTTCCCTCATCAGCACATTTCCAATGTGATGGGTTGTCAAGGCCACAGAAAGATCGTCTTCACCCAATTCTTTCGTTTGTATCTCTAACACTTTCTCTAGCATCTCCCTTGCCTTTTGATAGTTTCCTTGATGAAAATAGAGTATTCCCTTCTCCTTAATCTTCTCAACCGATTCGAGCTCGTTGGCCTCCATCGTTTTCGTTTGAGAAGACGCGTGTCTATACTGCTTTCTCCTTCAAGATACAGCAATGATGCATAATAATGATGTTGATGTTGATGAATACACGTATGACATAGCAAGGGCCCCCCTGATAAGTCCCCCTTATGAACATGCATTCATATTCTCGTATCCCCTTAAATTAACGAATAATCCGACTACAAATCCCTTTCTATATCTTTTCATTTTTCCAAATCATATCAACCACCACATATATATCCTTGTTTTCAGACGACCATTTCGATGCGATTCTCTGTTGGCAAGAGCTCTTTTGAATTAGGTCTTCTGTTTGTGTGTGGTTCCAGGTTTGTTCCAACGACGACATTAGCTTCGGCTGCCTTTATCTCTGCGTCATCATCGTCTGTAGTGGCATCTCAACAAGCACTATTATTTGGAACGACGACGAAAACAAACACAGCTACGCAAAGAACGAGCAGTACTCGGATGAAAATGACAACATCAGCAGCTTTAGACAATGATTCCAAAACTGAAATTCTTCGAGTTCTAGCCCTCCATGGAAGTGAAGGAAATGCAGAAGAATTTTCGGAACGCTTGATTCCCTTGCAAAATGTGTTGGGAGTGGAACATGACGGGACTAAGATTCAAATGGAGATCACTTCCCTCCAAGCACCATTTGCAAAAGGAGGGGGATATGCCTGGTGGACCATGCCACCTGGTATCCGATCATACACCGCCAAGGAATATGAAGGATTTGAAGAATCGGCCACACGATTGCTGGACCAGTGGAATCTTGGTGGAGACGATGGTAAACCATTTGATCTGGTGTTGGGGCATTCACAGGGAGCCATTCTTCTGGCCAGCATGATTGCGCTTGGTCGGACTCCATATAGCCCATCAATGGGATACATTTTGAATGGATGTGGCTACTGTCGGCCCTTTGAAGAACAGGTCAAGACTTTGAAGCCTTCAACAAAAGATGCGCTGACACGATGCCTCTTTGTGATAGGAGCCAATGATCAGGTCACACCTCCGACCATTCAAGAGGAATTGCGAGATGCCTTTCAGGCTGCGGGTTTGGAGGTTGCGACGCTGAAGCATTCGAAAGGACATGGACTGCCAAAGGAGAAGGACACCGAGGCAATACAACAAATGGCGGATTGGATTCTGAGAATTGTACACTAGTCACCTCATACTACGAGGCAGCCGCCAGAATAAAATAAAATGCAACACTTAGACAACCACATATGCGCTAAAGCTCTAGTCTAAACAACCTCCTCAGGTTCGGGACACTTGTAACCCGTCAAATGACAGGTTGTCATGGTACGATTTTGCATCTTCAGGTGAGCCTGATCCAACAACCGTTGATTCGTAATGGCAGAAAGACTCTCGCCGCCCCAACCGGCAAGTCTATTGGCAAAGAACATAAAGTCCTCCTTTGTGGCCGTCAAGGCTTCATCACGCCACGTTTGTCTTCCTTCCTTGGTGTCTTGCTTCAAGTACTGAAGAAGAGCGACGTGACCGACACGATTCGGCTGAAGGGCACTTCCGTCCATCTTGCCAACCGTTCCAATAATGGCGGCTTGTGCTTCCACTGGCAAGTTCTCGTGCCCTTCCATTTGTCGCTGCACCCAGCCAGTAGCGTCACGGAAGATCTCCAATGTCGTATAGATGCTTGGTGTCTGCTCACTTTGGTAGATCACAACCCCAGAATCCAGATCCAATTGGGCCCAAGCTTGCGAAGCGCCAAGATTGAAGCGGATCCTTTCGTTCAAAAAGAAGCCTCCCAAATATTGAACAGCAGCCATGTGAGCTCCACTGATGTGCTCTCCTGGTTGATACAAGAAACCTCCTCTGCCAACATCGTTCACCAAAGTTGGAGTCAAAAAGGCGGTAAAGGGATCTTCTATCTCCATCTCTGAATCCATTGCCAAGTGGCCATTAATGACCCAGGGATGTTCCACCTTGGCAAAATCAGGGAAGGGGGTCTTTTGAGGAGCAGCCGGAAGCATGTCATTGACAAACATGTGAACCGCACCCCCAAGGTCGCTGATAGCCTTTTCGTCACCCGTAATACTCAACAACAGCCCAGAGTGGTGAGTGCGCTTGATGGCATCATGTGCAACCAAGAGTCTTGTGCCGAGAGCTTCCCATTTAGTGTCGTCCAACGCCTCTTGCAAGGCAGCACGAGCCTTGTATAGTTGGGTGATTCCGAACCATTGCTCTCGGATGAATCCAGGCAAGGTGTATCGAGACTCGATTCTTTGGGTGGTGTACACGTGACCATTGCGTTGAATATCATCTTCCATATCGTCGATAATGTCCTGAAGAATGTTGATGACCTTTTGACGCTTGTCAATGACCGAGTCGTAAATGACAGTCTTCATCAAGTTGAAGAGTTCGGCGCATCCCTTCTCGGCGAAGCAAGAGGTGCGGACCAAAAGCTTGGTGATCATGTGCTTGCCACTGTCGACCTTGTATCCATGATCTTCTTGGAATTCGTAGACTTCTTCCACAAGTGGTTCTATGGTCAATCCTCCTGTGTAAAGGTCAATGTGTTGCCTGATCTCAACATCGGACTTGCGTTCGGTACCAGCCTCAGCAAGCAAACGGCACATGAGCGGTAGCAAAATGACGTCCTTAAACTTCATGTTGGAAATATCAATGGTGAAATCCACATAGGCAATGTTGTTGGAGTCGGGAACCGTATTCTCAATCATGGTCAGATCGGTATTGAAAACTTTGTCCGTAACCTTGGTGGGGATCTCAAAAGCTTCCTTTGGCAAATCCTCGGGCGACAAGCGTGGAATGGTGGCGATATCCAATGCGGAGTCACCCTCTTGCTGAACACGGTGAAGCTCGGCAGTTTGACGCATAATCTCGACACCAGTGGCCTTGTCCCAGAACTCGTCGGATTCGTTCAACCAAGCAATCTCGTTCTGAAGAAGAAAAAAAGAATCGTGAGCGAAATTTCGAACCATATGCCTGGCATCTGCATTGTCATTCAAACCACCGATTACTTACTCGTTCAGCACTGAGCTGCATCTCTGCACTAGGATAAAGGGTAGCAATGGCTTGGGCAGTGTTATCGGAAAGCCCCTTAGTCATCAACTCCAAAATGAATTCCATTCCCTCAACATTATCCGGATCTTCCAATTGAGCTCGAAGAGATTTGAACTCTTCCAAATGAGTCAAAGCCAAGGTAGGATCCAAGTCGTAGTTCCACTTGCGCATGACCTTCTTGAACATCTCGACACCTTGTGGAGAACCATCTTTACTATTCAAGTCACGCAAAATGAATTCGACTCTGTTCAATGCAGCTGCCATGGCCTCGCGATCAAAGCCATTTTGAGAAATTGCGGCCAACTTGTTGACAATCTTGGTACGAGCCAAACCGGCGTCGGCTTCCGAGGCCAACCCACTGACTCCCATCGTCATGACCCATTGTTGGAGGTTGGTGTCAAGCTTGGCAATGTAATCATCGCCCAAAACTTCCAACTCCTTGGCAATGGTGGCAGTGGGGGATCCAATCAACATTTCGTAAATCAAATGCCAAGCAACTTCGGTACGTTGATCCATGGGCTTGTCGTTGAGAACCCACGAAATCGAAAGACGAAAGTCAAAGGTTTCTTCAAAGCTGGGATAGGCAACTCGTTCTTCGACCGAGTTGATGGTATTGAGCATTTTGAATCCGACCTTGGAGTCTTCCGGCAAACTGACACCCAATTCCTCCAAGATAGAAACACCTCCGTTTTCCTCCGTCTTTTTGGCTTGATCATTCAACATGCGAGTAACAGCCTCGTCAACAGCATCCAAACAAGCATTGATATATTCGGGAGCACCATAACAGAAGACGCGTCCATTGGAGGGTTGGTAATAGGAGTTGTAGAATTTGATCATGTGGCCACGAACTCCGGAAAGAATTTCGTTCCACAATCCCTTGGGATTGTATCCATAGGTATGCTCCTTGAAGAGTCGATCGTGAACAAAATCATCCAAAGCTACATCGGGGAACATTTGGGCAGCACGGGCACGATTGTAGGCATTTCTGAAGTAGCATGAAAGGAATAGTGTGAGATTCACGAATGAAATTTGGCGTTCGAATGCCTGTACTCGTCTCTGCAACAACAAGAACTGTCATACACATATCAGATATCAGTACTCACCCACTAATGTAAAGAGTTGTTTGATCCTCCTTGGTTTCAAGTCTCCATCCCTCTTGACGGTAGATCCATTCATGATCAGCCTCTCCCAACAACGGATGAAAGATACCATCCAACATGACGGCCATGGAGTTCTTGAAATCCTTCAAGTTTCTCGAAGCCATGGTGAAACTGGTACGATCGGCCTCGGACCAAGTTTCCAAATGCGTCTGCAAGGATCCAGCCTGTAGTTGATTGATAGGATCCTTGACAGGGTAGGTCTTGGATCCAGCCTTCACCGCGTTTTCAGTGATGGTGGCCAAACCACGATTGTCTGAAAGGGGAGTACGGAAACTGATTCCAAAGGTAGCGTCTTGTGTCAAATCGTCAGGAACCACAGTCATGACGGACAAACCACTCTTGGTATGAGCCATCATCTTAATGTTGGCTCGTGCTTCGTCAATGTGTCCCTCATTGAGCACTTGGGTAAAGGAAGGATGTCCCACGACTGCCTTAGAACCACCTCCACCACTTGTACTCAAGAGGATGGAGTGAATGCCGACACCCAGGAGAATGACACCCAAGATGGCACCTCCGATCTTTAGCTTTTTCTTTTTATCTTCCGAGAGTCCATCTCTGCCGACGCCGGAAAGATTGGTTCTGGCAAAAACTCCATCGGACTCAATGTCCTTCTTTTGTCTCCTCCTTGGACGATGCATAATGAACAATTTGCTTTGGTAGATTCAGTTGCTGTCAGTATAACCTTGCAGCCTTACTCCCAATAGAAATACTAACGAAAGGACAGGAGCTATGCAAAGAGAATTAAACTTGTTTGGTGTCGTTGTAGCGACAAAGAGGAAAGGATTCCCACCGAAGCACCCAAGGTTTGCTTGGGAAAGGCAGTCATCCTTCATTTGGGGGGGATGCAATGTGCCTGGCTTGCTTCGTAGAAGTTGTACGACAACGATTTATGACTCTGCTCTATCTTGGGGAAGTAAAGGGGAGTTGGAAAAATATTCGGGGGATGGTGCGTCACATGATGAGACATTTTGCAAACCCGAAAAAGTCTTCCCCGAAATTGCAATCCGAAATTTGCGATCTTTGCTTCATTTTCAATTTTGATCCAAGCAATCGAAGCAATCGAAGCAATCGATCTATTGGGAGAACCATGATCATGCATCACATCAACAGATAATGTCAACCCACCAAAAAACAGTTCACATCGATCAATCTGTAGGTTGCGCACACTTAGAAAACATACAGAACTAATTCCCATTCACAGAAACCATGACTACGAGACTAAGAACTTCTCTTTCACTGTTCCTCTTCGCTGTTTCAGCTAGTGGTTCACTTGCTTTTGCTCCATCCATCAATAATGCTCCTCAGTTTGTTCGCCAAGAATCTAAATCATCATGCTTGTACATTAGCCCCCTTGCGTCCAAGGATTACTTGACGGAGGATGGTGGTGTCCAAAAGGAGATTCTCTTTGAGGGAAAGGGGGGGATTCCAGCAAAAGGCACCAGCGTAATTATGAGCTATGCGGGTAGTCTGGCACCCAACAACTGGTCTTCACAAGAAGTGGTAGATTGTTGGTTGAGCGAACAACAAGGATTGGATCATTTGAAGGATGCCTTTCTCGACAGTGAAATTGATGAAGCCAAATTGACAAATCCGGACGAGTTTACCGAGGACTTTGTGACCAATACACTAGATGTTCAAGCCAAGATTCAATGCAAAAAGCTTGTCTTGGCGGCCAAACGATTGGCGTCGAATCGTGGGGAACTGCCGTATGGGCACATGTTTGATTCCAATCCCGAATACTCGTATAAATTGGGATCCAACAAGCTCATCAAGGGCATGGAAATTGGATTGGCTACCATGAAGCCTGGCGAGTGGTCCGTCATCTCGATTCGTTCGGATTATGGGTACGGATCGGAAGGCTATCGCAAAGCCAATGGAGACGTCATTGTTCCACCTTTTGCTACTTTGAATTTTGAAGTCCAATTGTATCCAGAAGGAATTACAGATTTGAAGGGGCTGGAAGAATACTTGGGAGGTGGCGACGAGGCTTTTGACATTGATATTAATGATGTATAGAATGCTAAGATTATTATAAAACAAAGCTAAAGAACGGTACAACTACTGGTAGTAGCTGCTGGAACTGGCACCCATCACATGGCATGTGCCGCCGCCGCCATCAGCTTCTCGTCGTGCTCCATTAACCGATCATTCGTAACGGCAGAAAAACTAACACCGCCCCAATTGGCAAGTCTGTTGGCAACGAACAAAAAATCCTCCTTTGTTGCATGCAAGGCTTCCTCGCGCCACTTTTGTCTTCCTTCCTTGGTGTCTTGCTTCAAGTACTGAAGAAGAGCGACGCGGCCAATTTCATCCGGCTGAAGGGAACTGCCATCGATGTCACCAACTGAGGCAATGATTGCGGCTTGCGCTTCCACTGGCAAGTTATCCTGCCCTTCCAACTGCTTCTGCAACCAACCAGCATCATTACAGAAGATCTCAATTGTCGAAGAGATGATTGGTGTCTCCTCACTTTGGTAGATCACAACCCCAGAATCCAGATCCAGTTGAGCCCAAACTTGAGAAGCGCCGAGATTGAAACTGAAACGGAACTTTTCTTTCAAAAAAAAGTTGCTAACATATTGAATTGCAGCCATGTGTGCTCCACTGATGTGCTCTCCTGGTTGATACAAGGATCCTCCCATACCAAAATCATGCACCAAAGATGGATTCCAAAAGACGATAGGCTCTTGGTCTACTAAGTCCACCTCTTGGTGCATTACCAGGTTGCCATCAACCACCCAGGGGTGCTCCACCTTAGCGAAATCAGGGAAGGGAGTCCTTTGAGCAGCAGGCGGAAGCATGTCTTCGACGAAAATCTTAGCCGCATCAGTAATGTCCTTGATAGCCTTTTCGTCACCCGTAATGCTCAGCACCAGTCCAGAGTGGTGAGTACGCTTGATTGCATCGTGTGCTATCAAGAGTCGTGTAGCAAATTGGTCCCATTTAGAGTCGTCTTTTACTTCTTCAGCGAGTTCAAAACCCTTGAGCACTTGGGTTACTCCGAACCATTGTTCTCGGATGAATTCAGGCAAGGTGTACCTGGACAGCATGCTTTGAGTAGTGTACATGCCACCATTGCGCTTGATATCTTGGGCAGTATCGTACCAAATCCAATCAAGAATGTTCGTGGCCTTTTCACGCTCGTCAATCACCGAGTCGTAAATGACAGTCTTGATCAAGTGAAAGAGTTCTGCACACCCCTTCTCGGCGAAGCAAGAGGTGCGGACCAAAAGCTTGGTGATCATGTGCTTGCCACTAGCAACCTTATATCCATGGTCCTCTTGGAACTCGTAGACTGCTTCCACAAGTGGTTCGATGGTCAAACCTCCAGTGTGAAGGTCAATTTGCTGTTGAATCTCAACATCGGATTGGCGTTCGGTGCCAGCGCAAACGAGCAAATAGCACATGAGCGGTAGCAGGATGACATCCTTAAAGTCCATGTTGGAAATATCAATGGTAAAATCCACATAGGCAATGTTGTTGGAGTCGGGAACAGTGTTCTCAATCATGGTCAGATCGGAACCAAAAACGCCTTCCGTAACCTTGGTGGGAATCTCAGATGCTTCCTTTGGGAGATCCTCAGGCGACAACCGTGGAATGGTGGCGATATCCAATGCGGAGTCACCCTCTTGCTGAACACGGTGAAGCTCGGCAGTTTGACGCATAATCCCGGTCCGAGTGATCTTGTCCCAGTCCGATTCTTTTAACCATGCAATCTCGTTCTGAAAAGTAAAAGGAATTGTGAGCAACGCCTTGAATCATTGGCAACACTGCATTGTCATCCCAATCAAAACTTACTCGTTCTGCAGTGCTTTGCATCTCTGCACTAGGATAAAGGGTAGCAATAGCTTGGGCAGTGTTATCGGAAAGTCCAATAGTCATCAATTCCAAAATGAATTCCATTCCCTCAACATTATCCGGATCTTCTAATTGGGCTCGAAGAGATTTGAACTCTTCCAAATGAGTCAAAGCCAAGGTAGGATCCAAGTCGTAGTTCCACTTGCACATGACCTTCTTGAACATCTCGACACCTTGTGGAGAACCATCGGGACTGTTCATGTCACGCAACATGAATTCCACCTTGTTTAATCCAACCGCCATGACCTCGCGATCAAAACCATTTTGAGAAAGTTCGTCTAGCATGTTTGTAATGTTGGTGCGGGCCTCACCCGCCGCGGCTTCCGAGGCCAACCCATTGACTCCCATGGTCATGACCCATTGTTGGAGGTCGGTATTGAGATAGGACACGTGATCGCCACCGAAGGATCCAATCAACATTTCGTAAATCAAATACCAGGCTACTTCGGTACGTTGATCCATGGGCTTGTCGTTGAGAACCCACGAAATCGAAAGACGAAAGTCAAAGGTTTCTTCAAAGCTGGGATAGGCAACGCGTTCTTCGACCGAGCTGATGGTATTGAGCATTTTGAATCCGACCTTCGAGTCTTCCGGCAAACTGACGCCCAATTCCTCCAAGACAGAAACACCTCCGTTTTCCTCCGTCTTTTTGGCTTGATCATTCAACATGCGAGTGACAACCTCATCAACAACGTCCAAACAAGCATTGATATATTTGGGAGCACCATAACAGAAGACGCGTCCATTGGAGGGTTGGTAATAGGAGTTATAGAATTTGATCATATGCTCTCGAGCTCCGGAAAGAATTTCGTTCCACAATCCCTTGGGATTGTATCTATAGGTATGTCCCTTGAAAAGCCGGCTGTAAACAAAATCATCCAAAGCTACGTCGGGGAACATTTGGGCAGCACGGGCACGATTGTAGGCATTACTGAAGTAGCCAAAGCGGAAAAAGTCGTATGAGATTTACGAATGAAATTTGGCGTTCGAATGCCTGTACTCGTCTCTGCAACAACAAGAACTGACGTCAGTACTCACCCACTAATGTAAAGAGTTGTTTGATCATCCTTGGTTTCAAGTCTCCATCCCTCTCGACGGTAGATCCATTCATGGCGAGCCTCCCCCAATAACGGATGAAAGATACCATCTAACATGACTGCCATGGAGTTCTTGAAATCCTTCAAGTTTCTTGAGGCCAAGGTGAAACTGGTACGATCGACCTCAGACCAAGTTTCCAAATGTGTCTGCAAGGATCCAGCAAGTAGTCGATCTATGGGGTCCCTAACGGGGTATGTCTTGGATCCAGCCTTCACCGCGTTTTCAGTAATGGTGGCCAAACCACGATTGTCTGAAAGGGGAGTACGGAAACTGATTCCAAAGGTAGCATCTTGTGTCGAGTCGTCAGGAACCACAGTCATGATGGACAAACCACTCGTAGTGTGAGACATCATCTGAATGTTGGCTCGAGATTTTTCGACGTGTCCATGATTTAGCACTTCGATAAACGCAGGGTGTCCTACTAGTGCTTGAGCACCATGATCTCCTTTACCAAATGTAGTATCTTGTGGTATATCATTATGGACGGATATGCCACTCTTAGACTCAATGTTAGCTCTTTCTGATTCGACTATCGACCCTTCACTGGTCCCTTCGAAAAGAGCAGGTTGTTCCACGACTGCATCAGAACCTCCCAAGCCGCCTCTACTCGATAAAATGGCGTGAATGGCTCCAACCAGGATGATGACAACCAAGACAGCGAACATGTTTCCCGAAAATTTGGAGCTATAAATGTCTTTTTGTTTGTCGTCTTGGTCGATGGATGATGAAAAGCGATCGGGTGTAGCGATTGTTGTGCGAATTTTTCCGAGGTGCGAGTCGGAGTCAAGTTGTGGTCACGGGGGTTCATGACCTTTCCGTTGAAGACCATAGGCGTCTTATGTCTTATGGTAATTTTTTGTCCCCAAGAATAACACATGCATAAAAAGGTCTTGCCAGCGTAGACATCTGGGAGTTGTGGGGAGTTTGCATCTGAAGCGGAATATCAAAGACTTGCTTGCCTACTAGGCCTTGCAGAGACGTAGAATGCGTCAATGTAAGGCCCAACAGGGATGTGGAGGGAGGGAAAAAAAAGAAATAAACCTTATTTCTTGACGTATACTCGCACACAAGTTCGATAAACTGATCGGACTTGGTGTTGCTGAGCAATGCTGTTGTGACGGTCGTTCGACCGTCGTCAGGATGATGAAAGGAATCCAATGATTCGTTCTC